AGAGACTGATTTGCCATTGCATTACTCCTGTGTAGCTCCAAGTTCAGTAGAATTATGCCAATGTAAAACTGGAGTAACGCAGGAGTGAATCAAGTGCACTGTTTGTAACTCATGAGACATGTAGCACTGATAGCTCCATGAAAAATAAGTAGAATAAATGATGGGTCCTAACCTGAGAGAGCAGCAGTTTCTGGGTTGTCATTGTTAACTTGAAATGAAATTTCAGCTTTGATTTCATTTTGTTCTTCATCTGACTGAGCGGCTGCAGAACATGTAGTTATGTCAGTTACAGGCTCCCACTGATCTCCTTCTGCTGTGTGGTGCTGGTCTCTGTCCATTGCAAAGCTGTCGCAGAAGGAATACAAAATCATGCACTTCTCATCACCAGACACATTAAGAGCTGTAGAAGTCTCCCAAAGACTATTCTAGATAATTGTTTATTTTATTGAGTTAGGGCTTGATCTGACCCCCACTGAGATAAATGAAAAGATTCCCATTGATGTCAGTGGGCTGAAGTTTACAGAGCTGCTAATTCCTTAAAACCTATGTGCTTAGACACAAAGTTAAAGAAACAGACATTGTTTACAAATATCCACAAGGGATAGCAATAAAGGAATGCTGCAGCTGCCAATAAGAGTGCTGGGACCTATATGGTCATTTTGTCAGGAATTAAGATCAGACAGACAAAAGCAAAAACTTATGCCAAATAATATGTGTATTTAAGGTGAAATCCTGAATCCATCAATGTCAATGGCATGTTTGCCATTGCCTTCAGTGGGGCCAGGATTTCACCTCTTGTATTGTGCCTCAAAGTTTTCTGGACTTGGCCACAGATCAGTTGTTGAGGGGAACAAATTCTGGAAGCCCTTAAGGGAAACAGCCAGACTGCTGGAGAGTTTACCCCCCAAGATTCAACGGTCTAGCTGTGGCGCCATAACCAGTAGCTCAGGCTAGCTGCCCGAGTACATTCAATCACATCTGAGACCCTAGGTATCTGGGCGGCCAGCCCAAGCCGCTGCCTGGGCCACCACAGCAACACGGCTGTTTTTTAGCACGCTAGCTCAGTCAGTCTATGTGAATGTCTACCCAAACTGGAAGTTATGCCTCCTGCTGCATTGGAGATGAACCCCTGAATCTGTCAATGGCTAGGCAGGTGAATTACTAAGTTTTCTATTTATTATGTAACAGCATGTTCCTCCTGTCCCCCTTGCTCGTCTGTTTCAGCTACTTGCTGTGTCTTGTCACAATCTAGATTTGTAAACGCTCTGGGGCGGGACTTGGTTTTTTTTTGTGTGTGTGCATATGTGTGTTTTAAACTATACGTTTGTATAGAGCTTATTATAATAGGGCCCTAGCTCCTATATGGCAGTACTCCAATACAGCTCCCTAATAGGGACCTATAGGCACTACTATAATATAAATAACTATTTATAATATCATTGTGATGAAAGGGTTTTAAAAACTTATAACAACTTTGTCAGTGATTTGTGTTTGATCAGTTATGTGAGATGAACTTTTTTGCTCACAGTTTGGCTAAAAAAGAAGGAAAGACAAATAATATAGGTTACTTTAAAAAGTCACAGCTCCCATTCCTGCAGTAAAACAAAAGATTAGTGAAAGATGTTATTGAGACTGAACTGCTGCAGTATGTTTAGGAAGTGGGAGCTAGTCAAGACTGCTTGGTTCTCACTTCTGCATAATTTAAGGATCTTTGTGTACAATCATGCAGTGCTGTACTTAGAGGTGGGGGAATTCCTTCATGGACTCTCTTGCAGTCTATTGTATCAGTAGACATTTACAAGGTTGCAAAAGCACTTACTTTAATCCCTCCCTGACAGTAAAGTGGAGCAGAATTGAGGAGAATGCAGCTTCCCCAGCTCTACTGAAAGTGCTGAGGGAGAGCTGCCTCTGCTCCCTGGCTTGGGCAAGCAGAATTCCACAAAACTCTCCCTTTCTCCTTGGCAGGGACCTGATTCAAAGTCCATTGGCTTCAAAAGGTTTTTGGATCAGGCCCCTGATGCAGTGAGAGGTGCAGTCACAAAAGTGACATACCTGCAAGCTGCATGGAAACTTTTTTAAAAACACCATAATAGAGGCTCAAACTAAATGTATACCCCAATTTAAAAAACATAGTAAGAGGACCAAAAAAGTGCCAGCAGCGCTAAATAACAAAGTATAAAAGAAGTGGTTAGAGGCAAAAAGGCATCTTTTAAAAACTGTAAGTAAAATCCTACTGAGAAAAAAAGAAAGGAGCATAAACTCTGGCAAGTCAAGTGTAAAAGTACAATTAGGTCAAAAAGAATTTGAAGAGCAACTAGCCAAAGACTCAAAAACTAACAGCAATTTTTTTTAAAGTACATCAGAAGCAGGAAGCCTTCCAAACAATCAGTGGGGCCACTGGATGATTGAAGTGCCAAAGGAGCACCCAAGGAAGATAAGGCCATTGTGGAGAAGCTAAATTAATTCTTTGCATTGGTCTTCACTGCTGAGGGTGTAAGGGATATTCCCACAATGAAGCCATTCTTTTTAAGTGATAAATCTGAGGAACTGTCCCAGATTGAGATGTCAACAGAGGAGACTTTGGAACAAACATATACATTAAACAGTAGTAAGTCACCAGGACCAGATGGTGTTCACCCAAGAGTTCTGAAGTTCAAATATGAAATTGCAGAACTACTAACTGTAATATGTAACCTATCATTTAAATCAGCTTCTGTACCAGATGACTGGAGGATAGCTAATGTGACACCAATTTTTTAAAAAGTCTCTAGAGGGGATCCTGGCAATTACAGGTTGGTAAGCCTGACTTCAGCACTGGGCAAACTGTTTGAAAGTACAGTAAAGAACAGAATTATCAGACACATAGATGAACACGATTTGTTGGGGAACAGTCAACACGGCTTTTGTAAAGGGAAATCATGCCTCACCAATCTATTAGAATTCTCTGAGGGGGTCAACAAACATGGTCAAGGATGATCGGGGGATATAGTATATTTGGCTTTTCAGAAAACCTTTGACAAGGTCCCTCACCAAAGGCTGTTAAGCAAAGTAAGCAAAAAAGAGGGAAGGTCCTCTCATGGATCAGTAACTGGTTAAAACACAGAAAACAAAGGGTAGGAATAAATGGCCAGTTTTCAGAATGGAGAGAGGTAAATAGTGGTGTCCCCCAGGGTTCTGTATGAGGACCAGTGCTGTTCAACATATTCATAAATGATTTGTAAAAAGGGATAAGCAGTGAGGTGACAAAATCTGCAGATGACACAAAATTACTCAATATAGTTAAGTCCAAAGCAAACTGAGAAGAGTTACAAAGAGATCTCACAAAACTGGGTGACTGGGCAACAAAATGGCAGACGAAATTCAATGTTGATAAATACAAAGTAACACACATTGGAAAACATAATCCCAACTATACATACAAAATGATGGGGTCTAAATTAGCTGTTATCACTCAAGAAAGAGATCTTGGAGTCATTGTGGATAGTACACTGAAAACATCTGCTCAATGTGCAGCGGCAATCAAAAAAGCTAACTGAATGTTAGGAACCAGTAGGAAAGGAAAGACAGAAATATCATAATGCCACTACATAAATCCATGGTATGTCCACACCTTGAACACTGCTTGAAGTTCTGGTCACCCCATCTCAAAAAAGATATATTAGAATTGGAAAAGGTACAGAGAAGGGCAACAAAAATGATTAAGCGTGTGGAGCAGCTTCCATATGAGGAGAGATTAAAAAGACTGGGACTTTTCAGCTTGGAAAAGAGGCAACTAAGAGGGGATATGATAGATGACTATAAAGTCATGAATGGTGTGGAGAAAGTGAATATAGAAAAGTTATTTACCCCTTCACATAACACAAGAACCAGGACTCACCCAATTGAATTAATAGACAGCAGGTTTAAAACAATCAAAAGTAAGTTCTTCTTCATACAATGCACAATCAACCTGTGGAACTCCTTGCCAGGGGATGTTGTGAAGGCCAAAACTATAACAGGGTTCAAAAAATAAATAAATTCATGAAGGATAGGCCCATCAATGGCTATTACCCAAGATGGGCAGGGATGCAACCTCATGCTCTGAGTGTCCCTAGCCTTTGATTGCCAAAAGTTGGGACTTGATGACAGGGGATGGATCACTTGATGACTACCTGTTCTGTTCATTTCTTCTGAAGCACCTGGCATTGGCCACTGTTGGAAGACCGAATATTGGGCTAGGTGGATCAATAGTCTGATCAGTATGGCCATTCTTATGTTTCTATGAATGTTTTCACTGCTCTTTCAGTCTTTGTCAACCACTGCTCATTGCACATTCAAAATAGCCAGTTATTTAATGTTCAATTAGTCAACCGAGTTTGATTTATTACATTGAATTCCCAGAGAAACAAGTTCATTTTATAGACTATATACTTGAAAAACCTTACTTTTTAAAAATGGGAATGTGACCATAAGAATCTCAAAAAAGCAGATTAAATTATAAAATTTACCTTAAACACCTGTAAACTAAAAATGGCTGACCAAATTTAAACTAGATTTTCCTCCTGAGTTGCAAGTTTATATGATGAGATACAGCAGAGTGATATTTATGTTCAAGATATAAACCTCTGAAAACAAAATTGTATAATGGAAATACTGACATGCCCATAAATACAGTGGTTCTAAAGGTGCCATTATTGTGATGAAATAGGCCCAAACTTCATTGTTCATTGTGTTCAAAAGTATAATACATACTTATGTGTATATATATATATGAAGTAATATTCTGTCATTGTAACATACAAAAATTAATCTAAACTATTTAAACTAATCATTAAACTACTATTTGCCTTAACATCTAAAAGCACAATAAAGTGAAATCTGCACTGCCATTCACAAAGACAGTCTGTTGCTTTAAACAGGTTGTTTCATGGTAATATTTATACTGAAAAATACCATTCAAAGTTATTTAATTGAATGCTTATTAATATTACAAAATATAACACACAAAATGCTGACCTTTGAGCTTCTGAAGAGATTTCAAGGGTGATGAGATTGCAATGCGAGCCTTGCTTTTTATTTTCAAAACACAGAAAAACATGTCTGTTGTCTTGTAGCAGACAAGCTCTTTATTTTTACAGAAAGGAAGGAGGAAGTCTTGCTTAAATCTGACTTCCTCATCCAGTTGGTTTGTTGTTTTAGTGGGTGGTTACCTCAAAATGAAACTGGCTATCTGCCTTGAGTCGTTTTTCATATAGTTTACAAGCAGGATAAACCTAATCCCGTTCCCATTGTTATACTTTTTTTTTTTTTTTTAACAACACTGCAAGTTACAGACAATGCCAACTTTAACTTGGATTATCTTGGTTTCTGTCACAAGTCTAGCTCTTTTAAAGTTAGATGTATGATTTGCTTACATTGTGAACAGACAATCATGGGTGAAATCCTTGACTTCAATGGAGACAGGATTTCACTCATGATGATAATATATAGCTATATGAGAATTTCAAATTTTAAATCTGCCCGTTTATATGTAGCCATATTATTTTATGGTTCTCAAGGGTCTGAATACTCTTTGGTCTTGCTAAAGGAAAGTGGCAAAGAATCTCTTTCAGTGTTTTAAGACCTATATGCTCAGTTATTTCAAAATAAGGAACTCCTAATTAAATACCCTGCAGAAATATAAGCACATTGTTATTACCAGCATTGTTCACTGACTATAAAATTAATTTTTCAAACTTTGACTTGATTACTAAAACCTGTCAAAATGATAATTAGCAATGTCATAAAATTAACAAAATAAGCATATCAATGAAACTCTGAATATCAACACAATAAAAATGTAATAATGTATGTCTCTTTATATCCCCAGTTTCATTTAAATAATCAAATGAAGCATGAAAAATGGATTTAAGAGCACAAAAGTATATTATGCAGGTTCTGCCTGAATGGGAATTTTTTTTTAACGTTTAAGCAAAAGGTTTGGCTGTTTGGGAGTACAAGGAGAGTGTGGGGGGGGGAACCTTTTCTTATTGTAAAAAAAAATATTCTTGCAACCTGTATTAAACAGTACGTTTGAGAGTTCTGGTGAAAAATTGGTTTTGATTTTCACTTGCACAACAATAGTGCAATTTTAGTAGTGGTAGCACACATTCTGAGGGAAGAAAAGATTTTCTAAAAGGTTAATTTAGCTGACTACTTAAAAATTACGGAAAGTTAGTAGTGATTGATGCCTGGATCCACATGCACTCGCTCATTCATCATGCATTTTGTATGAAATACTTCCATTCACTTCATTTGTCTGGCATATACAGATTAGTGCACACTAGTAAAAGATGATACATGTGTACCTAGGGATATAGAAATAATTGTGATGTTATATTGCAGGGGTCGGCAACCTTTCAGAAGCGGTGTGCCGAGTCTTCATTTATTCACTCTAATTTAAGGTTTTGCGTGCCGGTAATACATTTTAATGTTTTTTAGAAGGTCTCTCTCTATAAGTCTATATATTATATAACTAAACTAGTGTTGTATTGTAAAATAAACAAGGTTTTCAAAATGTTTAAGAAGCTTCATTTAAAATGAAATTAAAATGTTGATCTTACGCCACTGGCCCGCTCAGCCCGCTGCTGGTCTGGGGTTCTGTTCACCTAGGCCGGCAGCGGGCTGAGCGAGGCCTGCAGCCAGGACCCCGGCTGGCAAGGGTCCGGCAGCCAGAACCCCAGACCAGCAGCGAGCTGCGTGGGGCCGGCGGCCAGGACCCCAGACCGGCAGTGGACTGAGCGACTCAGCTCACTGCCGCTCAGGGGTTCCATCCGCTGGCTCCTGCCAGCCAGGATCCTGGCTGCCGGATCCACTCAGCCCACTGCCAGTCTGGGGTCCCGGCCCTCCCCACATACAGTGGGTACCTACCTTCTCCCTGGTTCTGGCCATTCTCTTCCTCTCTCTGCACTGAGCTGAGGGTGGCAGTGCACTGAGCACAGGGCTGGGGGTGAAGGGTCGGGCCAGGAGCTAAAATGAGGGAGGGGGCTCAGGGTTGGGGCAGGAGGTTCGGGTGTGGGGCACTTACCTGGGCAGCTCCCATTTGATGCGAGGGGTGCAGATGGGAATGTGGGGGGGGGGGGTGCAGGAGCTCCCGTTTGGTGCTCTGGGTGGGGGTGGGGATGTGGCAGGTGCATGGGTCGTGGGGGGGCTGCGGATGTGGGGCGGTGCAGGTGTCAGGGCAGAGGGGGGGCTGGGGATGTGTGGGGATGCCAGAGTCAGGGCTAGGGTTGTGGGGGTGGGATGAAGGAGTCAAGCAGAGGGCTGGGTGTGTATGAGGGAGGTACAGGGCTCAAGGCAGGGGTCTGGGGTGTGTGCGGGGCTCAGGGCTGAGGGCAGGATGTGTGTGTGTGGGGGTCAGGGCTCAGGGGAGAGGGCTGGGTGACTGCCCCCCTAAGAACTCCCAACCCCCCAGCTCCTTGTCCCCTGACTACCCCCTCCAGAGACCCCCCACCCTAACTGCCACCCCCGGACCCTCCTTGCTCCCTGTCCCCTGACCCCTATCCACCCCCCGCCCCCTGACAGACCCCGGGACTCCCATGCCCCATCCAACCCCCCCTGCTCCCTGACTGCCCCCTCCAGAGACCCCCCCCATCCAACCCACCCTGTCCCTTGACTGCCCCCATGCCCACCCCTTATCCAAACCCCCGGCCCCCTTACCATGAGGCTCCACGCAGAGCCTGATAAGCTGCCCCGCGGGAGCGCGCAGCCCCTACCCCCAGAGCGCTGCGCGCGCGGCAGCAGAGCTCCAGGGGAGGGGAGAAGGCTTGGGAGGGGCCGGCAGCTTGCTGTGCTCCGGCCCAGGAGCGCGGACCCCGCGGCTTGCCGTGCCGGGAGAGTGGGGTCATTTGCCCACCCCGTGCGCACGGCTATGCTTCTGCTCCCTGCCCCCGCGGAGGGCAGAGGAGAGCGGGCTGGGCTGGGCAGGATTTTTAATGGCACACTGGAGTCCCGGCAGGCTCCAGCCGTGCCATTAAAAATCAGCTCGCGTGCAGTCTTTGGCACGCATGCCATAGGTTGCCGACCCCTGTTATATTGTATTATTGGACAAATGGTATGTTTATAGTCCTATGTCCATATGACTTCAGCACATAAAAATAGCATCCCTGGGAGATGTCAGGACTACATTGCGCAGGTCAGCTTGCTGGTAGGAATGTGGTATTCATTTTAGGGAGAAAAACCTGACAGTTCCAGTGGGGGAGGCTTGGAGGTATCAGTTGCTATGTTTGCTGCTGTATTCAAAGATGTGCACATCAAAGATCATGTTAGTCATATATTAATAGATTATAAGGCCCGAAGGACCACTGCGGTCATGTAGTCTGACCTCTTGTATAACACAGGCCACAGGACTTCCCTGAACTAATCCTGTTTGAATTAAAGCATATCTTTTTAAAAAATCTAGTCTTGATTTAAACTTTCCAGTGATGGAGACTCCATCTCAACCCTTGGTAAGTTGTTTCAATGGAAAATTGCCCTCTCTGTTAAAAAAAATCTGTTCCATATTCTGCTATTGTCCACTTGGGATAGTAATAACAAAAATCTTATTTGGCCATCTGACTACATTTGTCCATTCAGATTCAAACTGATAAAAATATTTAAATATAGAATACACAGTGCAGTGGGTACCGGCCTGTCTAAGATAAGTCTCAGACAAGCAACTTGTACATTTTGTGAACACACTAGTTTTCTGAAAACCTTATCTTCCTGTAATGAGCACAGCAAGTTAACATTGTGCTAATATTTTGAGGATACTGACATACTGATTATCCTGTTTACTGGAGCCACGCCCATGTCTCAGTCAATTTATGGCTGTGATATTTGCATTACCAAACAGTATTCTATTTCCTTTCTTAGCAAACATGATTTCAAGTGTCCTGATATGCCCATTGCTTTTTTTCCTTTTATGGCTCAAACTGTGCAACTAATCCTTGTATATCAACATCATGATTCATTAGACACTGAGTGACAGAAAAATCAAGATGAGGCAGAAATGCCTAACACATTTATCTGAAGCCCTTTTTTAATCACATTACTGATATCTAAATAGTGGGGTACTGTCACCTTACATGTTTCCACCAGAAATCTGCCTTTTTTTTTTTTTTTTTAATGCAGCGGGATTCCTGACGAAACAGAAAAGTTCAGCTGCTGTACATTGATGAAATTGTGAAAAGTGTGTGTCAAACTACAGTGCCAGTCCAGCACAAAAAACTACTTCATATTAATTTGTATAATGTTTAAATGTATAATATTGTTTAATTTGAAACTGAGATTTGTTTTGCCTCAGTTACTATTGTAAAAGAAACAGTGTAGTCTGCTTCCTTTGATCAAGAATGTGATTAATGAAATTTATTTACACACCTTGATGGAAAGTGTTCTTGTGTCAATGTTAAAACAAAGGCAGGGCCTTTACGGTGGGATTAATTTAATAATGTACTCACTTTAAGGCCCATTTATGCTGCCATAGCGATATAAAGGGATCTTAATGTTCTGTAAAATAACAATCTGGCACCTTGTTCCTTCTCTGATTTTTTCATAAAAGTATAGCTAAAATTCATGATCTTTAAATCCGTGTGATAGAAGTCATTAAATTTAGCTTGAGTAATGAGGCTATTCTATATACAGAAAGTAGATTTGCTAAATGAAATAATGTAGTCATTTTCCTCCCAAAATACCTGAAAGAATCAGTCCATAATGTAGGTGGACTACAAATTTGTTCAATTTGTTTTTGAATTACTGAAGTACAGATAGGAAATGCAATCACTCCTAATATTTTAGATGTTTCATTCTTATAACTTTAACAAACAATCCAATTTTATTTTCAAATGTGATTAAGATATTCTCAGATTAAGATTTATATGCCAAATTCCCAGTATAATGTATTTATGGGCAAGTTATAAACCCCATGAAATTTGGGATAATAGGTTTTATAATGGACATACTGATGCATTCTATAGCGACACAAAGGGAGCCCTAATAATGAAGGAAAATGCTGCTGCTTTGTATAGATAGCCATCTTGAGCATTAAAAGAGTATAACTTGGTGTTATTATGTGCTTTTACCTTGCAAAATGAAGGAAACGTAGTGCACAAATCTCATTATTTTTTCAGCAGAGTCTATTTTTGATAAAGTAAATATGATTTTAAAATGCAATTTTACTCTAAAAAGTGACTGTGTAAAATGATACTGTGGTGAGATTGCATATTCATTGTGTCTCACTAATTACATAACAAATTTAATCCATTTGTAAGGAAAACATATTTTTCCTTACAAGCAGTCAACCCAACTCACCTTGGATTCTGACATTCAGACTGGATCGAGTCCATCTCACACATCATCGCAATAACAGAGGGTCCTTACTTGTGCCCTCTCTCCATTTTACCGAAAAGTGGTCATTTTTCAGTTCATAACTTTTACCACAGTTATATTCTCAAGCCCTGATTCTGGCTGCAGCTGAGCTTTTTGTTGCTTGTTTGCTAACTTTGCATCTACTGGGTTCTGGAGACCTCTGGGGACCAAAGTACCCAGTGTAAACTAGGACTGCCCTAAGGATTGTTTAAATTAATGCTGTGTTGCAACAATTACTAAATTACATTAAAAAAAACATATTAAAGGAACATTAAGGATGCAAAGTCAAGCTCTGAAAAATTAGGAAATGCCCGATGTAAGGTTGCCTGTGAAATCTTAATTTGGACTCCTTCTGCATGTGCATTATGATACAGTCTTTAATTACATGATCTCATACTATTTTTTCACAGCTTTCTATGCTTATTGGGAGCTCGTTGCTGGAAGCACAAGCTTCAGAGAGGGCAAATGTTTTATATGATTTAAAATAAAACAATTATTTAAGTCACCAGTTAAAAACAGTTTTATATGCCTAAAAGGATGAACCATAAATTTGCCTAAAAATAAATGCCATGGTCCAGAAACCCAAAATAAATAATGAATGAGAGAAAATATTTGCTTATATATATATATAAAAAGAGGGACAGTTAAGCAGCTGCTAAGTTTGGATTTTAATACATTCATGTATATGGTAATCTTATTTTATAATACTATTTTGCACTTTCCTAAGAGTCTGAAGCATTTTTAAACTGGATATTAAGATTAGAGGAAGTTTAATGTTCACACAAAGATGAGTGTAAGTATCTTTGCCATAAAGTCTTCACTATTGAGTATCCCATGAAGCACTATTTAAAATAATTATCCTATGAGGTCTGACTGACAATGCTATAGATTGGGGAAAAGTTGATGCAGGAGAGGCTCTGAATTTACTTACTAGAAGAAAAAATTACAAGATATCAAGTGGATTTATTTAACTAATGTACAGGTGCCAAATAATGTATTGACCACACATATGCTGTATAATTAAAGTGTTATCTTGCCAAAATATTTTGTCAGGGCCAATTCAAAGCCCACTGAATTCAACAGGAGGCTTTCCAATGATTTCCATGATCTTCAATTCAGGCCCTTAAGTCCCAGTTGTGCTGACTGTAGGCAATCTAGCATACAATATTAATTGGATTCTTCACAAGAATAACAAATGATTTAACAATACACCCTTAGCTTTTTCCAACTACATAAAACTCATGTAGCAACTGACATTTTGTGCATTGCAACATATTGTCTAGTTAATTAATCAAAATAAACTTCCTTCCTCTTGTATCAACATGTAAGTGAACATTTTGCATAAAAATGCACACCACCCCCAATTTGGATAAATGCAGTCTAACTGGTCTGTGAATGTGCAAATGAGGTAAGTGAATGTCCGATGCAGCAGCATGCATGGATATCAGGTAACCATACAGAAATATATTAGATTTGCACTTACTGTTTCTTTTATGTGGAATTGGATGCTTTCACATTTAAAGAAGTGTGGTAATCAAACTGGGTATTTGCACATCTAACAGTTAGTGATTGTATCTGCATCACTGATCGGGCATATGTGCACTGCACATAAGTTCATTACACATCTAAGGTGTGGGGTGTGAGACTTTAGGCATGTTGAGTAAATGCACATCTGAGGGAGGGTGAATATATAGGCATGATGGGCTATTCCATATCTAATGGACCATGTTTTGGACAGACATGGCACGTCATTATACATCTAAAAGGTGAGTATGTACTTGTACAAGAAAGGTCACTGCAGGTTATCTGCACAGCTACAGCTCACTGCATATCTAAGGTGAAGATGTAGCAATTTTATCACAGATCTTGCAATATTTGGTGTTTCTCTTCAATCCTCAGGTTCCTGTAATTTAGTGAGAATCTCTGTTTTCATTAAAAAAGTGCTGAAACCAGAAATATAAAAAAATCTCCAAACTATGTTGAGTTTAAAAAAAAATCCAAAACAAAACAGCTATTGTTAAGCCAATCTCATGATTTTTTAACACTTAGTATTCGCAATGCTGGTGGTATCATATTAAGAAGCCAGGGGCTGGCGTGCTTGGGGGCACATTATGTCATGCATGTCTAAGGGGAGAGTGAGTTTGCGAGTGTCATGTTCGTTTAGGCATGAATGCAAGAGTACATCAGGTCATTGGATATCTGATGGGGGCATCTCAGGTTATTAGCAGTGTGTACAGATGCATGTGGGGTCCTTGTAGAGCTAAGCAGCCCTGTGCAGTGGTTTGTGGGTTTACATGGGGTTACTGCATGTCTCAGGGGCCCAGTGTCGAGGTTGCTGTTGCCAGGGGCACATGAGCTCAGTGTGCACATCTGGGGGTGTTCTGATAATTGGGCCTACAAATTTACCTAAATTGTAAGCTCAACTGTGAAAAATTAATGACAATTCATAAAGTGCCACAATAACCTATAACAATAAATGATGATGGTAAAAGATGCAAAAGGAAGATTGATTAGTACAAACAAAAAGCCCTACTGATAAAATTCAAAGATGGTGCCTGATAAACAAGAAAAATGTGGGACCAAAATTGGTGTATTGGAAATTAGGTCTAAGTAGTGGATAAAATAAGAGGATTGGCTATTCTTCCCATCACTCCCTTTTGGGGTCCTTAAAAGAAGAGACTGTGGAAAGAAAGCCAGCATTTTCTATCCTTGCTGTACTTTTCATTCCTCTTTCATGTGTGTTTGTCTTGTTTTGTCTTCTAGGAAATGGAATTGGCCTTTAACAGCAACAACTGCAGCTTCGGCCCATCTCAACTAACTTCTTCTCTTTCCTCCAAAAGGATGGGTTTTACCCATGGGTGGCAGGTACCATAGGCTGGGGGATGCTATGCCTCCCCAAACAACCAAGTGTGGCCCCACCCAGACCCTCTCCCCCTGCTCCCCACTCTGCGTGTGGCTCCAGTACCCCTGTGTAGTGGCCCTGTCTCAGGCTGGAGCCATGCCACGCATCCTCCCTGTGCTCCAGGCTAGCCTAGGGTGGGGGCTGGTGGCTGTGGCTTTGGGCTCCGGTGGGGGGAGGGGAGGCACAGAAGAGGCGGGGCCTTGAGGGGAAGGGGCGGAGCTGGGGACTAGCCTCCCCAAGCTGGTGGTTCACAGGCTGCCCATGGTTTTACCATCTAAGAGGCTGTCCAACAAGGGGATGGGGGGGGGGGTGTCTTTCCTCAAACAAAAAGAAAGCTCTCTAGTTGAAAGGAAAGGGAACAAGGGATGTTAAAATGAAAGCCTTATTTGATACTTTACATTTCAAATACTTTAACTGCCCCCCCACCCCCCATCTTTAATACAAAATGTAAAGGTTTGCCATGGCACTAAGCTGCCTGAGCCCTCTGTATGCCAAACATTGTTCAAAATTGGGGACAGTTACAGGGTCACATTAAATCCTGGGGGGTTTGGGGGCCCATATCTTTTGCCTGACTGAATGCAACAGGGACAGGTGCAGCTCCAGGGCCTCAGGGCCCAGGGAAGGGAGGTGCTGCTGGGCAGGTGTCAGGGCAGACCCCAGGGCTGGGCTCACTGCATGAGCAGGACTGATGGGTCTGAGCCCCTGAGCCCCTCCCCACCTACTGCCACTGCTCACTCTACTACCCCCTGAGGACGGGGCTACTGCCTGCTCCTGAGCCCCGCCTTCGCTCCTCACTGCAGCCAATAGCCAGCCGGTTACTGAAAGATTCAGCCAATCAACTTGTCCTACAGCCCACCTGGTTAAACTCTACCAATCGCTAGAGGTGGTTCAACCAATCAAACCGAAGAGTTCCTCTGCTCCTCTTACGGTCCCTCCACCCCCTCTCTGTAGCCAATCTGCGGCCGGCCTGGATTAAAGGATCTAGCCAATCAATCCAATCGATTTGACTCCGCCCACACGTCTGTTCCCGCCTTCATCTGCGGCTCTGTCAAGCATGGAGGAGTGGAAATCCCCGCGTAGGCGCAGGCTGCGTGTGTCGGCCCAATAGGAGGGAGAGTGGCTGGCTCCGGGCCTTGCGGTTGGCTCCGGCAGCTGGCAGGGGGCGGTGCTGTTTGGGTAGCAGGGTAGGTTTCACGGGCCGGGCCGCCTGGCTCCTGTGCTGACTCTGAGAGAGCGGGTTACGGGCTGCGTCGCTCTGATGAGCCCCGCGGGGGTGTGAGCGGGCTGGGAAAGTCCCCGCGCCGGCAGCTCCGGGCCTGTCAGGAGGGGCTGCCTGGGCAGTAGCAACGCGGTGGCTCGCTGGGCCGAGGATGAAGAGGTGAGTGAGGGGCCCGGGGCGGTCGCGCTGCGCTTCGGGGCTGCCTCCCGCTCCCCTGGCCGTGGGGCCGGGGCTGGTCCCGCCCTTGGAATCGGCGGGGGCTGCGGACCGTGCCGGTCTGTGTGTGCAGCGACAATACGCCCCCCCCCCCCGGGGCCGCGCTCGGAGGGCTACCAGCGGACCGGCCCAGGATACGCGCTGCCAGCCCCCTTTCCGTCCCGGGCGCGTAAAGCACGGCGCGGTTCGTCGGCTCAGCTGGCCTAGGGGGTTAGAGGTTGGCTATAGAGCAGCGCAGTGAGACTTGGGTTCTAGTTGAGTGTGTGACACTTCCTCTGTTGGGGCGTCTCACAGCGAGTTGCTTTGTTTCGCCTTTTTCATCAGCGTGCAGCCTGAAGGTAGGTAGGCTGTGCTGCATACCTGAGAGAGGCCCTGGTCCCGCTGCTGGCTCTGGTAACTCATGCAGAACATTGAAGTCAGTTGGGTAAGAGGTTCACACTGTCAGATTAAGGATTTAGCAATATAGTGATCCCTGCATTTTGTCAGGTGCACACTGAAATAGATAAGGGCTGTGCAGGGGGCACTGATTTTGGCTAGTTCAGCTCACAGGTTTAATGTAATGATCGGGTCACCAGTCATCCCATTTATTTAAAAGTTTCTTCCTTTACACACGTGCACAAAAAATAAGAAAAAAGTCTAGGTTAATGTAAAATAAAAATCTGTGTTTAAAAAAAATTAAGCATTTAAAAGCAAGGAAATGTTTAAGCATATTTTATGCTGCTCAGAAAATAAACATTCTTAACGAGTATAGAGAAGTATATATTAACTCATAAAGCAAGAACATTAAATCTGACTGAAAATAGTGTTTTCATCTTTCATCTCAGAATATGAACACAATGCACAACCCCTCTGAATTAGAGACAAATGGCATATACTGACACACAAGTGTCATCCCCAAATCAAGTCCAGGTACATATTGTACCAAACAGCTACAGTGTAGTGCTTTTTGTTTTTAAAAAAATTATATTACTTAAACATTCTTTTTAAAACTGAAAAATATATTTTTCATATTTTATATACGGCTAAAAAAAGTTAAGTAGTAAAATCCAAATAGTAAAAATACATTTAAAAACTCCAATAATCCATTGGTCTGTGATAAGATGCATGTTTTCACTTAGCAACTAAGCATTCTTTAAAATGCACATTTTTTATTTTTATTTAATTTAGTATTGCAAACATGCAGCTTTGGCCTCCCTTGGAGGCTATTACATTTGCCCACTCAACTACTATGGGTTCTTCGATTTAAAAACATTTTTCAGACTGTTTGACAATCTTGGTTGTTTGCCCTGTACATGGGATTATTCAAAACATATTTAAACTTGGGAATCTACAAGAGACAATTTGAAACAGGTTGATCCAGTTTTCCCCACTTGTTCTATAGTCTGAATCAAGGCAATATACTTATGTATACTCATGCTGAAACCTGATAGGAGATACAAACCACACTGCTTACTCCAAGTAATGCTATCACAAGGCAGAAACAAAGTTCTCAAATTTCAGAACAAATCTTTTTCTCAGTGAGATGATTCTCTGTAACAGTATATGCTAGTGACTCAAAGGGCAAGGTGGGGGTAGAGGAACTTAGGGAACTTCTGACTGGGCTAACTACAGTGGCTTAAACATGTGCAAAGTTTCACCCTCTTAGCTACACTTACAAAGTTTCAGTCACTTGCTCTTGTTAGGTCTTTTTACTCCCGTTCAGAAGATGTTTTCTCTCTTACCCCTCAGCCCATTTTGGTACTAAGATAGGCTCAGATATCACAAAGATGGCCATGGCATGAGAACCTAGATGGATAGAAAAAGTTCTTAAGTATGTTACATGCTGTCATACAAAGGGCTTAATATTCATCACTGCATTGCTGTGCAATGTAGTAAATTACACTTGCAAATGCTCATGGGATGTGTGTGGAAGAATGTATGGCAAAAGGGAGAGAGGGGCTTGGGGTGCAAGGAAGGGGAGGATCAATTATGGGGATAGGTAGGTGAGGGGTTAGGTGGGGGTCAGTGATAGGGAGTGGGAGGGGAGGAATGGGACACTGGGAAGGAGCACATGAGAATGGATTCCAGGTTGGGAGAGAATAGGGGCAGCAGCACCTGTCAGCCCTACATTTTCCTCTCATGTGAGTGCTGGCATCTGGGAGAGGCGGCCTATCTTGGGGGAGAGGAGGTCTGAGCCTCTTCCCCTACCTTTGTGTTTGTGCCAGATCTGAGCACCCCATCCTTGTATACCCCTTCATGTGAGCCAGATATGGGGTACTTGCCCTTCTGGGGGTGTCTGAGTCCCTGCCCCCTGTATGTCTGCCAGGGTCGGGGGGGGGCTCCCTGTATGCGTTTATGGGGATCTAATCCCCCCCCATCTGCCCATCCCCATGTGATATCTGGAGGTTTGTGCCCTTCTGAAAATGCGAGCCCCTCTCCCTACCCTTCTTTATGTGATCTGGGATCTTAGGGGGCCTTGTCTCTGTAGGAGGATCTGAGCCCACCTCCCTATTTCGCCCCCTCCACATGAGCCAAGATTTGGGGAAGCCCTGCCCCTCTGGTTAGAACAGATACGCTTAGAGCATGCACGAAGAACACACTGCTGAGATGGGGTGAGAATTTGAGAACGGACATACTTGATGCATGTTACAGGCTCTCTAGCACTGGGGAAGGGGGATGAGACACCCACTGACATGAATGGAGCAGTTCACAATGGAGTTATTATTTCAGGCTGTATTTATATACAGAGGGTATGGTCTTTCAGCTGAGAACATCTCATTGAGATGAATAGGTCACTTCATACCTCCCTAGGCCTGCCATGCTGCAGATGGATGTGTAGAGTCCTTTTCCTCTGTCCTCCTTCTGATTTCATATAATTATAGTGGTGCATCAGCATGTTTACAGGGATTGTCTTGACATTTGCATTGTCTCATGGGAGTGTAGGACCAGGGTTTGTGATGCAAATACGGGTTAATTTGAGTAAGGGATTCCTGAGATACAGCCCCAAGCCTGGAAAAAATCCAGTATTTCATAAAGTTGACAGATTCTAGCAGCTTGTAAGTTTGAAACCCACTGATCCTTGTCAGAAATCTGAGAGTGAGCTGTGTAAACATTGGGGTAAAGCCACCTCTGTCAAGGTGTAGGTAGGGTTTGAGAGAGAAAGGTAATCTGAGTGTGGAAGATAATTCAGAGAACACTTCAACTGTGTTTGAAAAGAAAATAAATTATACATGTGAATGCTTGCTTTGAGGGGAGGGTGATTGGGGTGGAAGAGTAGATGGGGAGTGGCGGGGGGGAGGTTTGAATCTACTTTGGAGGATGGGAGTATTATGGAGAGAGGGATAAATGGCAATGGGTGGTAAGGAAAGGAAGAGAGGGTTGGGGCTAAAGTACGAGGGGGGAAATAAGGATTGGTGGAGTGAAAGGCAAGAGGATGGGAGGGTTTGTATAGAAAGTTGGAGGTATAGGGGTGGGTGGGCCTGTTAGCCCAAAATTTTACCCTACCGTGTGTGTGCTGGGATTTGGGTGGGTCCTACCTGTGCTGTGTGGTCTGGGATCAGGGGGACCTTGCTCCCCTTGGTCTGCTGAGCCCCTCTCCTTGCTCTTCCATGTGAGCTGCAAAATGGGGATAACAAGCTAAAGTTCTTTGAGCTCTACTGATGAAAAGCACTATATAAAAGCTAGGTACTTCAGTAGTACATCCGCTGTAAAGCTAGGTGAGAACTACAACTATCTAAATGACCACAGTCTCCTACCAGCTAACATGTCTGTCTGTCTGTCTCTGTCTCTCTCTCTTAAAATAACCCCAAACAAACAAACAAAAAACCACAGAAGGAAATTAAATGGCAAAAACTTTAACTCAGAGTTAAGGTTGCCCAGAGATAACTCATGACCTTTCAGAATGTTGAGTTCAGCAAAATTCAAGCTCTTGGAAACAAATACAAGAAATAGAGAGTTAAGGTAAATGTCTGCTCAGCCTTAACTCTGCCCTCCTCAAGTGATGCCCCAAAACACCCATAATACACATGCTCGAAATCTGCCTTTTCATTGCAATGCACAGGCACTAACGGCACCTGTCCTACACTTACAACACTGCGCGTACTCCCCTGATAGATTACCACTTCTCACAGTTTTATAAACTCTTCTTTGCACACAGGATATCACCTAAACTTATGCTTTCTCCTGCCTATCATTAAATCCGCAGACTGCTCTCAGTACTGACAATACTCATAGCTAGGGCCCTACCAAATTCACGGCCATGAGAAATGCGTCACGGACTGTGAAATCTGGTCTCTCCCCGCGTAAAATCTGGCTTTTTGTGTGCTTTTACCCTATACTATACAGATTTCATGGGGGAGACCAGTGTTGCTCAAATTGGGGGTCCTGACCCAAAAAATAACCTTGCGACCCCTCTGCAACTATTTTAGGGGGGTCACAGTATTGCCACCCTTACTTCTGCGCTGCCTTTAGAGCTGGGTGGCCAGAGAGCGGTGGCTGTTGGCCAGGTGCCCAGCTCTAAAGACAGCAACCCACCAGCAGCAGCACAGAAGTAAGGGTGGCAATACCATACCATGCTACCCTTACCTCTGTGCTGCTGCTTTCAGAGCTGGGCAGCCAGAGTGTGGCAGCTGCTGACTGAGAGCCTAGCTCTGCAGGCAGCAGCGCAGAAGTATGGGTGGCAATATCATACCAGGCCACCCGTATTTCTGCGCTGCTCCTGGCCAACAGCTGCCGCTCTCCAGCTGCCCAGCTCTGAAGGCAGAGCCACCACAAGCAAGAGTGCAGAAGTAGGGTAGAAGTACTACAACTCCCCCTCCCCAATAACCTAACACCCCCCCCCCAACTCCTTTTTTGAGTCAGAACCTCTACCATGACAACACCGTGAAATTTCACATTTAAATAGTTGAAATCATGAAATTTGCATTTTTTAAAATCCTTGGACCGTTAATTTGACCAAAATAGACTGAGTTTTGTAGGGCCCTGCTCACAGCTAAGGCTCAGACTTTGTCATGGAGGTCACGGAAGTCACAGAATCTGTGATTTCCAGAGATCTCTGTGACATTTTCCACTTCAGTCCCAGCCGCTGTGGCTCCCCCCACCCTCTGTGGTTCCCAGTTGCCGTGGGCAGTGCGGCGGGACCCTTGCACCCCAGCCCCTGGCGCCTCAGCACTCCTCCCTCCCCATTTTGTCAGTTATTTTTAGTAAAAGTCGGGGACAGATCATGGGCTTCTGTGAATTTTTGCTTACCGCCTGTGACCTGTCCTTGACTTTTTACTAAAAATAACCGTGACAAAATCTTAGCCTTACTCATAGCAAGAAACCACCAGTGCCTGCTGTTGACATAACCTACACAATTCTGTATTGAAATGATGCAGAATGGAATCTCAGAGTAGCCAGGCACCTCTTTCCTTTGATCACAGGCACTGAGGGACTCAGACTGACATCTCCTCAGATCACAGCCAAAGCTGTGATGTTTCTTATATCACAAACAGATCTACCAACCTGTCCCATCTACTGCCTCCATTCAGTGTTGATAGACCTAAAACCAGGAGCGCCGCCAGCTTTTCCACCTCCCTAGGCGGCGGAAGGTCCTGCCCCGAAATGCTGCCCCCAACAGAGGCGGCGGAAGGTCCCGCCCCCGAAATACCGCCGCGGTCGCCGCCTCCCAAATTGTAGCACCCTAGGCGACCGCCTAGGTCGCCTAATGGGTTGCGCCGGCCCTGCCTAAAACACTGAATGCAACTGGAGTGCATGCAGACAAATCCCAGTGGCTCTTGCCGGCTCCAGTGGGACTGAGTTAAGGTTGAGTGCGTGTTTAGCTTAACTCTGTATTTCCTGGTTTTCAGAAGTTTGAGATTCGCTGAACTCTGTTCTGATAGGCACACGCTATCAGTGGGTAAACTTATTTGAACTAATTAATTTTTTTGCCATTTAATAATTTAAAAAAAATTTGCTTGGTGTAGTGAATACAACTTTGTAAGGCTTATGTAAATGCTGAATGACTGACCATAGACTGTATTAAGGATACCATTATATAATCTAATTAAAACTGTTACACATTTCCAGTTGAATTAAATGCTTTTGATTAAATCAGATTATAACATCGCAGAACTGGCCCAGTTAGCAAGCTATAGTTCATGTAATAGTTACAAAGGAGCCCTAATTAAATAGAGATTTATCTTTCCTTCTAAACTTTTGTGCAGACTGCTTTATAAATTTCTGTTTACACATTTTCTTTTTCATGTGTTTTCATATTTAAGTGAAGTATAAGTTTTAGATATATGAGATTTGAAATGGTTAAGGCCCCAATCCTGCAACAACTGATGTTTGTGGTTAACTTTACACAATGTGGGTAGCTCATTGACTTCAGTGCAATCACTCAGTATGGAAAGTTAAGCATGTGCATTAGTCTTTGCAGGATCAGGACATAAGATTGAATGATGAAGAATGGGGCTTCTGACTCTCTGAGTTGCAAATAAAAGTTTGTGTGGCATCAGTGCATAGAAATGAGTTATGACAATAACTATGAATGCATCAAATTTCAGATTTTAATGTCTGGGGTTACTTGTAATAATAATTTGTACTTGATCTAATGTGTCACATGTGCAAACTCTATTAGTGTATCCTGTCAGTTCTTGATCAGCTTCAATAAAAAAGTTACTGGTGTTTGGCAAGAAAAACAGCAAAGAGACTATCGATTCTATTTTCCCATTGGCTAATCTCAAAAACAGAAATTGAATAAATAGTGTATTTCTATTTTAATTTGAAAACAGATTGACAGCCTCTACCAGACTTCAGCTCAATGAGATCTGAAACTGCCCAGATGTTGTACCTCAACTATGTGACTTATTCTGGAAATGCAAACAGACTTTTAAATGCATTGGTGCTACCAGTTGCTGCAGTGATACAGAATGTTAATGACAGTGATATTCATGTGCCCTATTAATAAAGATTAAACAAATAGTGTATTCAGGAGCTGAATGGCTGTATTATTGTAAAAGAGCATCAGAAGAAGGTATTGTTTTTCAGTGCAGAAATCTGTGAAAGCCTAGTGATTAGAAAATGTTTGGTTGCTTTAGAAGTTTCCATTAACCCTCTACTGCTATGTCATAGCATAACTTTTGGTTTGTTCTGAAACATGAAAAAATGTACCTTTGTTGGGGGGGGGGGGCGCGGAAATCAGCATGAGTGTTAGTTACAAATTAATAGCTATAGCCACTTCATTGGCTTCTGGTTAGATTCCAAATTTGGGATCAAACTGAGTGACAGGAATATTAATAGATTGTGGGGAGGGCCTGGCTGAATGCAATAGGAGAAAAGATGTGAACAAAAAAAAAAAATCACCAGAATAAGAAAGTAGATTAGTAAATCATCAGTGAAATTTTCATCCGCTAATTAAAATCCAGCAAAATTATAGACATCAAAAATTTCAATTGGAGAATATATATTTAGCCTATGTGGTAACTTTTACTTTCTGAATATAAATAAGTTGTGATGTATTTCAGATGATTTTTTTCTTTAAATAATCTAGGTAGTATAGTACAATTTGTAGATAGCTCTTTTACTTAATCTCCTGATAGATAGTCTGCAGTTAAGTGTTTTGGAACATTACTTATTAAAGTTTAATTTATACATCCTATGGATTCCAGTTTACCACAGCATTTAAATGAGATGACCTCTTCTTTCAAGCCTGTTCTCTCTGGCACTTCTACCTTGTTAAAATATAAGCAAAAAAGTTAAATATTTTGTTACATTTACAACATTTTAAGGATAGCTTTTAAATAGAATGGATAGAATCAGATATTGTCTGTTTAAAAATAAGTATTGCAATGAGTTCTGTCTGATGTGGTGTCTTATTATGGCAGATCCCATTATAAAACATCTCCGTGTTTCTCACATTTCATTAACTATTCATTAGCGAGCTAGCTCAAATAACTTAACTAAACTTTCAGGTTCTTGCTTCTTGGAGAAGAACTGACCTTCCTTCCACTGTCAGTCTTCATTGTTGTAAGACACCTTCTCTTCATTACTCCTATTTCTTTTGCGCATCACAGGAAATTTGAGTCTTAAACCTTGTGTCTTCAAGACAGATTGAATTTGCTTCCTCCTTCCCAGAAAATTCTTTTTTGTGTGCCTAATGTGGCAGCAAAACAGTTCTTCTAGCAAGCGCACCCCTTCTTATATGGGGGCTGTACTATAGTAAGCTTCCCTAACTATAAGCAAGAAATAAGCCGCTTTCAGAGGATTGCTTTCCATCTAAATCAGCCACAATAATGGATGAATTTACTCCCATATTGCCCTTCCAACCCCCCGTAGCTGAGAGGAATGCCTCTGTTCTGCTGACATGGCAAGTGAGATACTACCAAGGTAAATATTTCATTTTGGATCACTAAACAGCAGTACAGTGCAATTTTGGGCACCAGGGTGGCCTTTTCTAGATATTTGTTACGGAAAAGTATGATCTACCTATTGGTTAGTCCTCATGATCCTCAGATTTGTTGTTCAAGTGTTGATCTTGAGAACCCAAAAACATGGTTGTACAATAAAAAGTAAGGTGTGTTTCTGTAACCTTTCTCTGTAGTCAGTTTCATTCCATCCCATAGGGTGTTGTCTGATATATTTTAAATGTAATTTTAAAAAAAATAAGATGATACACTGTTGAATACTAACTTGATCTAGTTCATAAATATTAGCTTTGATTAAAAAAATTGTGTATTAGACATAGTATCTGTTACAAATTGTACTTTTTCAAATTCTAGTTTTGTTCATTTCATGAAAATACTACTTAGCTTTATGTCTTGGAAATAGCATTTCATAGTAATAAATACTTTACAATTTATAAACGTGGTAGGTTCAGAAAAAGTTGCATACACATCAGTAGCGTACTCAATATAACACAGAAATACTTCTGCTGTATCAGAAATGGACAGTCACTAAAATGCACGAAGGATCATTTGTTGTGGAGACAGTCTTCTCAGAAGCTCACTCACTATACATTTGGTTTGGCCTTTTTCTGGTCACTTAAAATTAAAGACTCCTTTTCCTTTAACTTATATGTGGTTGTTGCATGTCGTTGAATTTTAATTTTATAGTTCCTTTATTCAAAACACTAGAGAAGGGTAAGTGGAATAGAATCACAAGCATGTTCTGCAAAAATATTTGTCTGTTTTAAGTTCTGTTTAACATCACCCAGCTACTTTTGTTTTACTGTATGTGAAAAATGTTTGCATTTTAAAATGAATTCCTATTGTGCTTAATTTTAACTGTGATTCTCTTAAACTTAATGTTACGTTGTTTGTTTTTGTTTATCCTAGGCTTTCTGTTCTGGATTTACCCCTTGACAACATTGACACAGAATCGTTAAACAAATGTTGGATCCTCTAGGAATTTTCCTTTGTAACTGCTGTACAACTATGTCAGCAGATCATCTTTCTTGAATATAACTGCTTATTTATAAAGTTTTAATCACAATGAATTCAGGCTTATGGAGTCAAGAAAAAGCCAGTTGGGAAGAGCGTATCTTTTATTTGCTTCTCCAGGAATGCAGTGTTTTAGACAAACAAAATCAAAAGCTTTTGAAAGTACCCAAGGGTAGCCTAAGCCAGTTTATTCAAGATCGTTCTTCTGTGGGGCACGGCAGAAATATCCCTTCTAAAGGCAAGAAAATGCAGATTTGTTTAAAGGTTCTGGAACAGCCGCATCCAGTCCTGTTTGTGGATGAGAAAGATGTTATAGAAATAAATGAGAAACTAGCTGAGTTGCTTTTGGCTATTACCAACTGTGAGGAAAGATACAGCCTGTTTAAAAGCAAAAGCCGATTAAGTAAAGGCCTGCACATAGATGTTGGTTCACCTGTGAGAGTACAGCTGAGGTCGGGAGATGATAAATTTCCTGGAGTTGTTCGCTTCCGGGGACCCTTGTTACAAGACAGATTATTATCAGGGATATTTTTTGGAGTAGAACTACTGGTAAGTGTGGTGTGTGTGTGTGTGTTGTGTGGTTTTTTTTTTTTTTTTTTTTTTTTTTGCATGCTTGATACATGAGCTCAAACAAACTTTGTCACATAGTTCAATTTGTAAAAAATGGCATCCATCCAGAAGGTCTGGATGCCCTGCAATTATTTAAAATTGAATACAGAATTATACAAAGCATCTATTTTCAGCCTTGCTACTTCTAGTACATTAAAGTCAGCTAGCAGCAAGGACAACTTATGGGTGGTTTTTATTATTTTTATTAAATGAGGCTCCAATTCAGCTAAGTAGTTAAGCACGTAGCTAACATTTTTTAAGCATATGAATAGCCCTGGATCTTAAGCCAATATGACTGCTCAGGTGCTTTTAGTTACTCACCTGCAAAAATATCTTGCTGAATCAGGTCCTAATTGTTTACTGGAATTTCTCCAAAATGATGCATTATAATCCCTACAAAAATATTAGTATTTTTAATGTTTTGGTTTCTCTTTCCAAAATCCAGGAAGAAGGTCGTGGCCAAGGCTTTACTGATGGACAGTACCAAGGAAAACAGTTTTTCAGATGTGATGAGGATTGTGGAGTTTTTGTTGCCTTGGACAAACTAGAGTTGGTGGAAGATGATGACAATGAACTGGAGAGTGATTATGCAGCTCCAGTTGACACGATGCAGGTAGAACTTCCGCCTTTGGAGATCAACTCCAGGGTTTCTCTGAAGATAGGAGAAGGTATAGAGTATGGGACAGTTATATTCTGTGATGTCTTACCAGGAAACGAAAGTTTAGGATACGTTGTTGGAGTGGACATGGTAAGAAAATCTGATTTTTAATAACTTTTTGCATGTGTGTGTTAGTGAAAGTACATGCAATTAGAAGATAAACAGGTATCTACAAGTTACTTCGATGGAGGCTGATGACATGAAAGTGGGAAATCAACACCGACATACAAAGATGGCATTCAGCAGCTATTTTGGCATGAGGTAACAATATAGTATTTGACAAAACAGTTTTTAGGCAGAATAGTCTGATTTAAGTTGCCTCCACTGAGTTACTTGCTTTTCTAGATATCATGTGAGGCTTGGTATTATTGAACTAATGGTTTGGCTTGTGAGTATGATTTTTACATTTATTTTGCCTTTAGGGGAAATACATTGAATTACTTTTTCCTCTTTGTTTTGGATTTTATTTTGGTATAACCAGTTTGTCTGCATAATGGTATTTTTTTGTTTTGTTCTGTATTTGCAAGAACACTGAGGTTTTGAAGAACAATACTTTACCTACCTATAAAACACTAAATCTTTTCTCTAAATTTAGTTGTCATGTTCATCTTGTTTTTTAAACTTACTCTTAGCAATTTCTGAAAAATTTACTTAAAATAAACAATACCCATGCTTTTGATAGAACCTGCAAAATGTTTTGGCCTGTGCTTCCTTTCCTGATTGCAGCAGCAGTTTGAACAGCTCCAGTGCTTGTTAGCTAACCTAATTATTAGTACAGAAAGAGAGCTTAGCAGATAGCATGTTCATGCAAACAGGAAATATTTGTGAGGTAGACTGGAAGAGGTAAAAATTTTTTTTTTTTTTTTTTTTTTTAAAAGCCCATACCTGTAATAAATAAGTGGAATATTTTAACTCTTAATAAAAGAGGCATAAGATTTTTTTCCATGGTGCAAAAACCTATTGTGCCACTGCATGAAGAATTGCATCAGTTGTGGCATTTCTGTATTGATGACCAGTATTAAATCAAGAATGATAATAAAAAACGTTAAAAACTATCTTTAGGGCACTTCTGTTAATTTATTACTGATAACATGTCTTTTGCACGTTAAAATATTGTAGCAGAACATTATCTATTGCCAACATTTATGGATTCTGAGAATGGTGTATGTAACGAGGGCCTCCTTTTCGCCCTCGCTCTATGGGACTCCTGCACCCACAAATCAGCCAGAGACATCTTCTGGGTGCAATCACCAGTGCCTTTTATTTACAGTGTCGGCTCCCACCGCCTTCTATCTACAGACCGCTCCAAACTAGCAACTTGGGGGACAGCTAGCTTCTCCAGCCAGCAGGGACGCACAGCCCTTGGCTCCTCCCTTTCCTTTCTCCCCCCCCTTCACTTCCTTTCTGCCAGCCCTATATAGCCCCATGGCTAATAAGGCCGTCAGGTTCTTCCCTTCTATCAATTAGGCTTTGGCTACACTGGCGCTGTACAGCGCTGCAACTTGCTGCCCTCAGGGGTGTGAAAAAACACCCACCTAAGCGCAGCGAGTACAGCGCTGTAAAGCGCCAGTGTAATCAGTGCCTGCAGCGCTGCACGCTCGCTCGCAGCGCTGCAAGCTACTCCCCTCGGAGAGGTGGAGTACATACAGCGCTGCGAGAGCTCTCTCGCAGCCCTGGCGGCGCGACTACACTTGCGCTTCACAGCGCTGCCGCATCTAAACCCACAAATGTGGTGTTTTCTTAAAATTCTGTAAATACTTCTTTTGGACAATACTTTGAGATCTTAATTTTTTTATTTTTAGGATAATCCTATTGGGAATTGGGATGGAAGATACAATGGAATACAACTCTGCAGTTTTGCAAGTGTAGAAAGTACACTTCTCTTGCATATCAATGATGTTATCCCAGGTATGCTTTGTGGATTTGAAAAACACTTGGCTAGTTAATATGTAAATAGTGCAAAGTATATCATTGCAAAATAAGTGCATTAACATTTTTAAATATAGCCCACTTATTAGCTTTCCTCGTATCTGCAACCACTTCTGTTTATGCACTAAACATTCAAGTGGAGAGGAGTTTTGATGGGAAACAGATAGTGTCATGAATACTTGTGGATAAATATTTGAGTACTGGTGGTGGCAGTGCACCCATTCTTGAAAAGATTTTTATTAATCATCCGTCAGATTGTGTTGAGCAATTTGTGAATATCTGGAACAAGAAAGTAATTTCTTGTGTAAATGAAGCTTAGGTCATCCAGTAGAATGCAAATAATAGTGTGTGATTTTTACCAGTATCACGCAAGGCAAATAGCAAAATACCCATAGCAATAATTTCTGAAAAAATCCAAGTTAAAACTGTGGAATGCATGCAGTTTGTTATTCACATCGGATGAACGAACTGACCTATAATAACTGCAACCTTTTTGTGTGGATGCTTCACAAATGGTGTACTAAACCTCAGTTTTCAAATTGTGGTTTTTCTAGCTCTGGTCAAAATACTGTGCTCGATGTGGTAATCAAAATCCTGAGCTAGAATATGTAACCACCTAACTAAAATTTGTTACCTTTAGTAATGTTTATATGTATTTATAAAAAAAATATTTTTTGGGGGTGGGGCCTAGCATAGTTGCGGTTTTACACAGCTGTGGTCTGTAACTACAACCTTCTCCCCACACTAACTATTAACCTTTCTTCAAGAGTACATTCATGCTGAGAAGTAATGTGAAATGGCACATGTACATAAATGCTTCCATGAGTGGCATTATGTGCATCTCCTACTCATTTGTTTAGTTTGCAGTACATGGGATGCACTAGATTCTGTGTTTTTTTTCCTCCAGAAAATAGGTTTCTTAATGACTCCCACATTATTGGTAAAGAATGTTTATTGCAGCAATTTTGATAAAAATCATAAGTATTCAAAGTTGCAGGTCTTACTTAGTTGTTTGCACTAGTGACATACGTATTTATTCTTTTGAATAGGAATTTTAATATAGCAAAATCTGAACTCAGTGAATCTAGTTTTTCTGCTTTTAAAATGTAGATTTCAAAGTACAGCAATAATTTGTGTTTTTTTTTTTTATTTAATAAATACAGCTGAGTATACCTTTTAGTCCTCCAAAAATTAGGTTTTGTGCTGCTCAGTTTTGCTAAGTTGCCATGTAATGCCCAAATACAGCAAGGTATTTAAGCATATGACTGCCTATCTTTAAGCAGGTGTATAGTCTAGTTTATTTTAATGGAGTTACTTGCATGCTTAAAGTTAAGCATATGTTTAAATGCCTTGCTGAGTTGGGGGCCTAACAGTTCAAAAGGAATGACTATAGGCTTTTTATATTTTAAATACAGTTTTGTTGTCAACTGTGTCATGGTAAGTTGATGGAACTTAAGAGGCACTATGCACTTTATCATGTTAAAATGGTAAATCTTCCCAAAAAAATCCCAAGTATCTTCAGGGGATGTTGTTTTGGATGGTTGGGCAGAGATAAGCTAATGTACTCCAGCAGAAGTCACCGAAGTGTGTTTAAATGTACTACTCCTAAGGGGTTATGGTGCTAAAATGTAAATGAAACACTATCCTCATTCAGAAACATGAGGATTTTTTCATTTGAACTCTTTAAAAGATATGTTGCATGTTCCAAATCTTCTGATGTTATGCAGAAGAAATGATGATTTTCTGCTTGCATGATAACTTGCTGTTTTCAAAGAACTACGTTTAGCTTATTGTGCATAAAATAGGAGGAAATGCAACCAACATTATATTTAAATTGTTATGACTTGTTTTTAAATTCTCTTCATTTTTGTCAATTCTTTCTGTAAAGTGGGGAAAAAGATCATCTTGTACGTGGGGGTGAGGGAAGGAAGAGTTCTTCATTGGCTTGAAATTAATAATTGTTCTTTTGACCACATGCAGAATATGAGACAAATTAATACAAAACACAGCCTAACAAATGTATAATTGATATAACTTCGGGAAAAATTGGGGCAGCTAGATTGTGGCATAAGTTCATTTAAAGTTATGCCTGTTTTGGGGTCTTGTCTTCTATATTCAGTTTCATTTTGCAGTGTACATCGTAGATTTTCCAGTAGCAGTGAACTATTTCTTAAAATCTCATGAAAAATCTCATGGATAGTTCTGAAATATATTTTGGTTCTTCATGCTTCAACTTCTTGCAGTAAAAATAAAATTGGCATGTCACAAAATGCAAGTGTGGTGTGTTTTTGTTTTTGTTGTTGTGTTTTTTTTTTTTTTTAAATCTTGTTGCTTGACTGAAATGTTGATGTCTCATGGAACAGTACATAAAATATAGTTAATGAAATGAAGAAAAAAACTTACAATGAAATTAGTGTTTCTTACACCTTCATCATAACATCAGACTTATTCCAAGATGTCATTATGAAAGGCCTGATATTAAAAAAAAATATTGTAGGTCTGCTTCCTCAAGAATCTATTTATGTGGAACATTTGTAAATGCCCTTTTTGAAAAGGTACTATTGATTTGAAATCTGGTCCACTTCAAAAACTAAGTGGGGAATATTTTCAGGTACCCACCTCAAAATCCCTTCCAATTTTTCTGAGAACTGATAAGCCAAAACTTTCAAATCTGGGTGCCCAAGCTTAGGCTACAAAAGCCATACTTAAGTAACTCATCATGAGAACAATCTGATTTCCTCTCACCCAACCCTCCCCCCGTCCCCATAAGGCGATGGTCACCCATAGATACCATTTAAATCAATGGGAGCTACATGTACCCAGTATTCTCAAAAATCGGGCCACCTGTTAAGACTCTGACCTTGTATACCCAGGCTTGAAATCTTTGGCCTTTGTTTTTTAATAAGAGAAATCTTGATGTAACATTTTATTTTACTGATCCTTTGTAGTGGTGGTAGAGGGACATTATTGTGCTTTATTGTACTATGGTTTTAATGTTTTTATGCTTATTTTTTGCCTTAGAAGCATAGTTTTATAACCTCTATTATGCTTGCACCTATGTGAAAAAACTAAAATTCTACCTCTATGCCTATTCTAGAGACACAGGACAGGAGAGTTCCCAAACTTACCTTTGCCTCAAGAGGTGGTGGTGACAAAAGCTTATTCAATCATAGTAAGCAAAAGGTCACAGGTACTTGAGAGTAATTTTACTTCTTCTTAAAAACATAATCCATCTTACTTTATTTTTAGGCATGTTTGTATGAAAAGGGAGCTTTTTATTTATTTAGTGGTCATCTGCTCTTCCTTGACACTTGAAGTCAATCTTTTGTGAAATCATAATAAAGACTTCAGGTGAGGAATAGCAGCAAATCTGTTTCCATGAAAATATCCATAGGAAAAAACACTTGCAGGGAAATGCAAAAAATATATTGCATGGAAGCAGAATACAAAGCTGAATGTGTTTTTCAGTTTTCCTTGAGGTTCAATTGGTTGGTTGTAAATAAGTTTGGAAAGTTTAGACTTTTCGGTAAATGTTGGTAAATGACAATTTCTCTTCCTCTCCCCCCTCCCAACAAAAAACAGACCTTCTATTGATGATTGGAGATTGCAAAGTAAGAAAAATGCTACTTGAGAACTTATTAATTTGGTTAAGAATATTTACTATGTATATTTGGACACATATTATAATTTGTGTTTTAACAATGTTAAAGCTTTAACATTGTTAAAACACGTCTGCCTTCATTAAATAATTCTGAACCTCCTCCATAATTTTGCACAACTGTAAAAATTTAAATTAAAGTGCTTAAAAATAAACATTTATATTAGCTGTCAAAATTATAGTAATTTTTTTTAATAGAATCAGTTTTTTGCCAAGCCTAGTTGTAAATTACCATCTGCAAAGTGAATATTTTGCAAAAAATATCCCCACCCCCACTCTCTGGCTCCAGTTCTACATGAAGTGGATGTCCATTGAGGTCAGTGTAATTCTGTGTGGGCACAAGGATCTACCTGCATGGAGTTCAGTGTGGAATTGGACCTTCGTTTGCTCTTCTACTCTGAACTAGTTAATTGAATAGCTTTTATTTAAAGGATAACCAGTTGAATATATATATATATATATATATATATATATATAAAACTTCAGCTTGGACAATTAAAATAGTTTTAGGAGTTATGTTACCTCAGTGCAGGCTTTGAACTATGTTGTCTTTGCTGCAGGAGTACTCGCTGCCCCTGGAAAGTGGAAGGCAGGATTGCCCTTGTACAAGATATGTAATGAAATGAGCACAAAGCAGGATTTTTATTAATAAAATTCTGTATTTTTAATAAAACATGCTGTTTCTTCTAGGATCTACCTCCGAGCCTGGAAATAGAAACAGATCCGAATTTTTTTATACATTAAATGGCTCTTCAGTTGATTCTCAACCACAAACTAAATCAAAAAACACATGGTATATTGACGAAGGTAATGAGGGATAAGTTACCCTTTTATACAAATGCATGCTGTTTAAAATAAGTCTATACTTAAATATGATCATTAGCACAGTGGAAAGTGAGCGTTACTTGGGGGGAAAAAAAATCAAAATGTTTGCAATAGATGTTCTGTGTTAATGAGTGTGTTGATCATGCCAAATGTTGGTGAGTGCCCCTTTAAACAGTGGTGGAAAACCTGCGGCCTCTGGGCTGCACGCGGCCCGTCAGGGTAATCTGCTGGTAGGCTGCAAAACAGTTTAACGTTGACCATCCACAGGCACAGCCGCCCATAGCCCCCAGTGGCCGCAGTTCGCCATTCCCAGCCAATGGGAGCTGCGGGAAGCGGCAGCCAGCATGTCCCTGTGGCCTGCGTTTCTTCCTGCAGCTCCCATTGGCCGGGAACAGTGAACCGCGGCCACTGGGAGCTGTGGGCAGCCGTGCAAATGTAAACAAACTGTCTGGTGGCCCACCAGCAGATTACCCTGTCAGGCCACAGGTTGCCCACTACTGCCTTAGAGGTATTATATACACTTAAACTTGAAGATTGTAGCTTTTCAGCTCTGTTGTATGTAGATCTGTAACAAACTCATTGTATGTAAGTGGGAACGGATTGTACACATAATATTGTTGAGGCACTTCACTGAATGTGGATGATACCTTCAAACCTCCTCCTGGTACATAAAGGAGTTTTATCTGACTTCTCCTTCTGAAGTTAATTTAACTCTCCAGTTTTAAGTGGATCATAATATTTTTGTCATATTCAGAACACATTATTCAGAGTTACAACAAAATCAGCTAGTTATGTTTGATAAAACAATAAATGATACAAAAATGCAAGTATCTTTAAAGTTTATTCCGGAAACTGCACACTTGATTTTAAGGAAATACCTAAAGCATGTAGAATCAGTAAATCTTGATTGTTTTTGCTGTTAGCTAACAGAAGACAGAGGTTTATACTATCCCCAGAAATTGCTTCTAGGGTCATAACAGGTGTGTTTCATCTGGCAAGGAGTTCTTATGGCTGAAACTGGGGAGGGGGACTGCTAAAAACATGGGTTTACAATGAAAGCACATATAGCAGTAACAGGCACTGAAGTCAATAAACTGTTAAAAATGAAACTGAGTTAAGATCATTCCTGGCTGCCTAGCAAATAATAAATGCATTACTTCAGTGTAAAATCGGTTTATTTGAGAGATGATTCCTCTGATTTAAAGTGAATAAGAACTTATCAATTCCTGGAAAGTAACAAGCATGAAGGAGTTAATTGTGTTTTTTGGAATTTTTAAATATTGTCACATAATTAGGCTGACAAGAAAAGGATAAGTTGCTACTTGCTCTATAAATGCCAGCTGTACATTCTAGACCAGCAAGAAAGTTGAGGCAAGATGTAAGATGCTTATAAATAGTATCGTACTAGTACATCTGCTTGTGACCTCATTTATGTAGCACTGAATTGCTCATGATTTATTTACGTTTCTTCAGGTAACAAGTCAGTTACTTTATCCTGTATGAGCACTAGATGACAGATCCTGTTTCTGTGTAAACCAAAATGTACTCTTATGATATGCCCAGGGGATAAATGATGTCCTAAAGCAGATATTTATAACCTATAGTTAATCACAAGCAAATGTGAAACATACTACACTAGTTACTAACTGCCAGCTATCAAGTCATTCCATGATTCCTGCTGACGTGTATATTAAGACAACTGGTTTTTTTGGCTTTGGCCATTCCCCATAGCATATTTCTTTAAATTTGTGACACCTGGACACAACTATAAAGATTGGCAGTGTAAGAAAATTATATTCTATATTTATCTTCAGGCTAAGCCTTCCTATAGTTGCCTGCTAACGTTCCCTACCCTGACCTAGAAAATCTGTGCTCTTTGCTGCATCATGCTGTGGAATCTCCTCAGCAAACACTGCAAATATTATGCCTAATTTAGGGTGATAACTTTGTGAAATGGATTATTGTCCATTAGGGAGAGATGTGAGATTATAAACTATTTACTTAGTTCGGCAAACTTGACTAAAAATACAGGAAAAATCTAGGGGCAAAAGGAACAATGTTTTGTGATGTCAGAAAATGTTGTGCCACAGGCATAATAGCATATTAGCTGCCCTTTTCGTTTTAAATGAAATACTTTACGCCTTCAGCAAAGTTATGTAATTTTGAATACTAGCTTATACAAGGAGGAAGGGGGATAGGCACTCTTTCCCCAGCAGAAGACATGCATCTGGGACACACAATTCTTGGAGCTTTTTGGCATACTGGGGAAATGTGCTTAAAGCACCATATACAGTAGTACAACATGGCATGTTCCCTTCCCTATACCCAGCCAGTTGTGTTGGCCGCTGTGGAAGTGGGCACAGGTCTAGCCCTACCTACTCACCTGGATGTCTCATACCATACATATATGGTAGATATACCAGGAATCAATAGGCAGCGATTCCTGGTATATCTACAATTTGTGACTAGTTTCTGCTTGCAGTGATAGGGAAGACCTGGTGCACCTGCACAGGGACCAGTCATAACTGGGCTCAACATTTCCCATTCACAGCTACATTAAGACATTGTTTTTGACCTACAGAGCCTCTCTTTGGGAAGCAAGAGTGAGCTACTTAATTTGCCCCTTGTTTCTTTCTTAACAGTTGCTGAAGACTCTGCAAAATCACTTGCCGACTCATCTTCTGGATTCGGTCATTCTTCACCACCACTACAGCCGCCTCCAACAAACTGTTTATCTAACGAAAATAGATTTCACTCTCTACCTTTTAGCCTGACAAAAACGTCTAATACTAATGGTACTATTGGACATAGTCCCCTCTCTCTGTCTGTTCAATCAGTTATTGGGGATTTGAACACTGCTGCCACTCAGGAATGTCCATCAATAGTAATGCCTGTCAATAACTGGCATGGTCTTGAAGCAGGTTCACTGGCTGAAGTTAAAGAGAATCCTCCTTTCTATGGAGTAATCCGCTGGATTGGTCAGCCACCAGGCGTAAATGAAGTATTGGCTGGATTGGAACTGGTAAATAATACAAACTGCACAATCTTATTGTTTACAGTTTTATTTTCTGTCTATCTTGCAATTTAAATAATAGTTTTGTAGCTGAGGACCAGAATTCATGTACTCTACAAAAGTAATTTGGCTTGGCTGAAATATACTTGTCACATGATTTGAGTGCAGTATAGTTTAAAATTGTGAATAGGACTTAATCATTTTATAACTTCATTAAAGCCTTGTTTCATCACCAAGTTATGAGATGGTTGGGGCCTGTTCTGTACTACAGATAAAACTGTTGTAGCCTGCTCAGTGAGCAACCACTGTGTTCTTTTAGTTAGACATTTTTATAGTGTAGAAGAGCCTTGAATTCCTTTTATTTGTTTCTTAGTTTATATAGGCTGCTCCATCAGAACTTGTGAATTACTGGACATCCATCATTTTCTGTTTAAAAAGACAGGGAATACAACCTACATTAAATATTGTCTGTAATAGCCTTCAGAATGAGAAGGCTGTTGTCAGATGGTAGAATATTAGCAGAATGATTGCCACTATAGTTCCACGGTAACTAATAGTTCTATTCAGATACTTGAATTTAGCAGTGGATTTAAGTCATACTTACAGGTAGAGCAGAGCAGGAAATGGCTTTCCAAGTCCTGTTCTGCACTGGAACAAAACTGAGACTTTTCAAATATTTTTCTTGGGGGGGAGGGAGTGGGGAGGATGGGAGAGAAAAGAGAGACACACCCACCCAAGAATTGTCCTAACCACCAGGTACTGGCATTCACCTGGTATATGGGACACCCAGGATCAAATCCTTGCTCTGCCAGATGAAGAGTGCTCTAACCACAAGGCAACTAGCTATTTTGGGGTGGGTTTTTCTCTCTCCCCACTCTGTTGGTGTGGCTTCACTTCATATGAATAATATTTATTGGGCTAGAGAGAGAGACACTATAGCTAAGCGATTAGAGCACTTGTTGGGATGTGGGAGCCCAGGTTCCAGTCCATGAGTCTTTCACGTCCCATTTGAGTTGTCAGGAAAGATTTCTTGGGACAAAGTTCCTGAGAAAAGTGTTTTTGTTTTGTTCTCCCCCATTTCAGTTTTGATGAATCAGCATTGTCATTGACAAACTATTTTGCCAGAAAATTCCCAACCAGTTCTACTTACAAGGCCAATTACACAAATTTCAAATAAAGCCACGGTTGCAGCAAAATTATGCAGATTTGTGTTATGTTTTTGATATTTTTATGGTAGTCGTAGACCTGGTTGTGACTGTGCAGCAACTAAATTATTTTCTGTGCATGTAATATGATGCCTCTTAAGAATAATTTTCTATTGAATTTTACACAAGTATCCATCAAAATCATAGCAGTATACATATGGTAAATATGTTTTCTCTCTTAAAGAAGAGGCAGATGAGTACATGGGTGCATTTTGAGTTTTCACCAAAAAAACCACTGCAGCTGATTAGCTTTAGCTTTATCCTTTATCCTATATTTTCAGTCACAGATGATCTGCAGGCTGTGTTTTATGACTCCATGGGCTAAACTTGGCCCTTGGACTTGCACATAATACACTTCTGCAATAGGTCTAACATCTGTTTAATATCCATTAATACTTTTGACAGCATCCTTGAAATAGCTATCTTCCAGTCTTAATCATTTTGTTCCCTGTTACAATTATACTGCAAACATTCAGACTTCCTTCATGCTCACACTGTTACAGAGGCTGCACTGGTATATTTCCTCCCAGCCTACAATGAAAAAATTCAAATGATAATTATTTATGGTGGAGAAAAATACCGCATAGAGAATACCATAAACTTATCTAATTGCAGAGGGGTTAAAGGGCAGAGAAGTGTGGCTTTGCTGCTCTTATCACTAAACTAAAAATAAATCACTCATGAACTGAAGCCATATATACCAACTTGTAGCCCTAAATCAATCTTGCATCGCAGAGTGGAAAACTTGAATTGAGGTGTCTTTATCACAGATATCTTGTCAAACACCTAAATCACCAGAATCCTAGGAATTGGAGTTGTAGGACAGTAGTTCTGCATGCACTTTTTTCAATTTTTAAAAAAAGTAGTAAATCCCCTCTGTTTCATTTTCAGGAAGATGAATGCGCAAGCTGTACGGATGGAACATTTAAAGGAACTAGATACTTCACCTGTGCCCCAAAAAAGGCTCTCTTTGTTAAACTCAAGAGCTGCAGGCCAGATTCTAGGTTTGCATCACTGCAGCCTGTTCCCAACCAGATTGAACGCTGCAACTCTCTAGGTATTGAATGTGTCCTTCTCAATTATTTACTAATCTGGAAGTAACATTGTTTCTGATTTTGCTTCTTCATGGAGTAGTCAGCTAGAAATACGTAGCATTTAAAAGGCTGTACAAGCATTACTTAATCTGATTAGTCAATGGTGAGAGTACTGTGCACAGAACATAATTTAACATTTTTCTTTGAATTATTCTATCACTGACTTTAAAGCAAGAAAATGTTCTACCACTACTTTTAAGAAAGTTGAAGTTTTTTTCTTGTATATCATGTGACAAAGATCAGTGTGTAAATTGTGAAATGTATTGGAAATTGAAGTTTTTAATTACACTTGGCATTTCTCACTTTACTGATGGCAGCAGCAATCTTGCTAAGAGCTTTATAGAAATGTAGAGTTGGAAGGGACGTCAAGAGGTTACTAGTCCAGTCCCCTGTGCTGAGGCAGGACACCCTGACAAGTTTGTCTAATCTGTTCTTAAAAACCTTCAATTATGGGGATTCCATAACCTCCGTTGGAAGCCTGTTTCGGTGCTTAACTATCTCTATAGCTAGAACGTTTTTCCTAAATCTTCCTTGGTGCAGGTTAAGCCAATTACATTTGCAACTCCAGCAATATATGATCTCAGTTTCAGATACTGCAAGCCTGCTTCCATTCTCCTTCGATATGGCTCATTTTGAGAGGGGAAAAAAATCAGCATGTAAATACTAATAATTTATTAAAATGGAAAAGAGTGCCTGTTTACATGGTGGAGGCATATTTTCTGGATGCAAAATATTCAAACTGTCTTGATCTTGTGCTAGATGTGTTTTGGCAAAGAGAAATAGAGTTTCTAAACATTCATACCTTTAAGATGGTTTAAATAAAACGTGTAAAAATTAGGGAGAAATTCATTTATGCTCACTAGGTGAAACTCTATTCCAGTGTAGTGGGCCCAACCCAAGTGTGGTAATGGGACATCAGTGGGGCTTTAAGGACTTGAACACCATCGCTGCAGAATGTGTTTCACTCACTGAGAGTAAATAGTACAATAAATGCCACGCTGCTTCCTTCCCAGACCTGAAGAGCAGCTCTATGTTGTTCAAAAGCTTTTACCTTCCACCAACACAAATTGGTCCAATAGAATGTTACATCACCAACCTTGTCTCCCTTTCTAGTATAGGGAAAGAATGGTTTCAAAGTAAGCAATATGTTGTCTACAAAACACTTATAGGAAAATCTTGATGGAGGTGAAATTTTGAAGCTTTTAAGTGACTTTTAAAAAAAATATTTTCAGCCTTTGGAGGATACTTAAGTGAAGTGGTAGAAGAAAACACTCCTCCAAAAACAGAAAAAGAAGGTTTAGAGACCATGATTGGAAAGAAGAAAGGCATCCAGGGTCATTACAATTCCTGTTACTTAGACTCCACCTTATTCTGGTAAGTGTTTGTTTTGTTTTAATTTGTGCAACTGAATCCAGAGATGTGGGTGAGAGGGAGAAATGTTACAAATGTAATAGAGTAGCTGAGTACTAATCTGTATTGAATGTTTTGCATTATTGCTGCGCAACTAACAGTGACATATTGTGCATTTAATGCCTACTGTGGCATAACATTATTTTCAATTGAATTGGTCCACCAGGACTGGATTGGCTCCTGAGTGTGCATTCTGATATTCACTGAGCGGGTTAAATAACTTCCTAACATGAAATGTTTAATTTGAATTCTTGACTGGTATCCAGTCATTACTCTTGTCTTCTACCTTTATTTTCTTTGGTGTGCGGTAATTTATTTTTGCTTGATTTGTTCTTTACTTCCTCCTCTGGCCTTCATTGGCCTGAGACTTAGTTATGTTCCTCAGCATTTTACAGAATGAAAATAATTTTTTTTCCTCTTTCAGCCTGTTTTCTTTTAGCTCTGTTTTGGACACTGTTTTACTTAGACCTAAAGAAAAGAATGATGTAGAATATTATAGTGAAACTCAAGAGCTGCTAAGGACGGAGATTGTAAACCCTCTGCGGATGTAAGTAGATGCGTAGAAAACATTGTACTAGAACTAGCCAATGAGTCTCCAGTCTAGTATAAATTTTATAAATACCTAGCCACCTGTGCAATACTATGTCACGGGAATGAAAAGTTCCTTCCTGAGGACTGCTATTGTAAGGCAGTGAGGACAAACAGCTCTGGTGATTTTTAATCTATTTGGTGTAACTGCAGATGATGTTACAAAAAATGTAAGAAGGCATAGTCATAGTCATATCGGCATTTCCATTTCCTAGAACTGGAAACAAATATGTCTCTAGCTTTAGATAAACCATGTGTGTTGACACAAACATAAGTGGTAGTAAGCACCAGTGGTGACTTGGACAGACATGGGTAGTTAGAGCAACCTAAAATCTGGATACTTATGGCATGAAAAACAGTTGTTGTGCCTCAGTTTCTCTTCTGTTTAGGATTGTATGATTCAGACTGACTCTTCTCTTCCTTATTAGTCATTAGTAACAATCACAACTGCTTTTAAAAAGTTTCAGAAAATTCTGCTTTGTGGGCATATCATACACTGAAATCACTTAGCAAATTATATTAAGAGAAATTCAAAGGTAATGATGAGTAGAGATGAGAAGTTTGAGGCTCATAGAACCAAAGGAAATGTTACAGAATGACATACGTAGCAATATGCAGTGGGGATTATAAATTATTCCTCTTTCGTTCAAAAAAAGACCACTAGGCTTTATGAAAACATAATTAATTAGTATTGGTTATAGTTCTAAAGCTATACTTTGGTTTTACCATTAATAGCTTATTTGTAAAGATTTTAGCTTTCTTCCTTTGAAGAAAAATGCTGGATTTTGAACCTCTTAGAAGTGAGGACATGCACACCACTGGTGTATTCTATGATTCCATGGCCACAGAATGGATTGCAGAATCTATCTCCAGCCAAAGAAATCTCAAATGATTGCTGGGACAGCAAATTAAAAGCTTTTTGTTTGTTTTGTTTTGTCTCCCCCCTACCCCCAACGTTTCAAGGCTTTTCGCTACACCTTCCCACAATATAGAAAGAGGAGACCCATCTCCTCTCTAATTCACAAAACTTCAACCACCTCCATGTGTCAAACACCGTTTTTAGCATTCAGGAAAAAGTGAAATACTTTTAACTGGAACAATTTCTGCAATGCTGTTTGCATACTGTCATTTATAAAATTTGGTGGCACACTGAAAACTGAATATGGTGGGATAGTGCAAGTTAAATTGACAACTATTCCAAAACTGAAATTTGTGTAACCTTTAGTATTCAGATAATTAACCCACAAGGAGGATTGGTTTCATGTTTAATAAAACTCTGAAATTACTTGAAGCTATCACAGAAATGTCAATGCACCTCAGAATTCAGCAGCGCTCTGTCACAGAAAACTGAACCATGACCAAGAACTTGGTCCATTGTGCTGCAGAATACAAGAGGTCTGGCATTTAGGTTTATGGGGGGAATGCCAGATACTATAAAAATCAGTAAAGGAAATAAAGCCTCTGGTTATTAAGTCTCTCTCCTCTACTGACTTGATGAAAAGATTTAGCTAATAGTTTATTAAACCAATTTCTTAATGTAGTTTCGGATATGTGTGCGCCACGAAAATAATGAAATTGAGGAAAATACTTGAAAAAGTTGAAGCTGCATCAGGATTCACTTCTGAGGAAAAAGGTAATTGCAGAAGTTTTTTGCTTCTAGATTATGTAGTCGTTGCTATAAGAAGGGACTGAAAAAACATATATTCATTACATAGTATACGTTAAGATATACAAATATTTTTCTGTAGCACCCATCTCTATAGTATCAAAGCTTTGATTAGGGATGGGGATTGAAGAATTTACCTTCCTCATGGAATGACTTTGAGCTCATCCATAAGGCCCTTCCCCTTTCCGCGTTCAGATCTTTCCTGAAGACTCACCTATGTTGTGATGCTAATGGGGAAACTAGCTGACTTTTACTCACAGGTTTGAGACTAATTGGGTTTGTGTGGTGTTTGTTTATTTATTTATTTATTTTATTTATTTTTAAATATATTTTATAGTCAGTCTTTTATTACCAAGATGTGACCAGTCGCTGCTCAACTACTCAGCTAATTTCCTTCTTTTCTTTTGGGAAAGTAGCATGCACTTTGCAGGTACTGCTAGAAGCAAATTAATAATCCCTTCAATTAGGAGTGAGAAGAAAACACCGCCACTCTTTTTGATATTGAGATCTGGATAGCAGATGTCTGTCCGTCTGATCAATATTAAATTGGAGGCTGTGACCCTCCAACAAAGTAAAAATGGTTACCACTGTAGATATTTCTTGTATCGATTAGCAGATACTGTAATTACTTTTCTATTTCCTCTGCTGGTGGTAGCTTTTTCCCCCCTCTTCACAGGGTCAAATAATTCCCTTTGGAGTAGGATATCTTTGTTCATCTGTAAGCCTTGTTATCTAGAGTTTAGCCTTCATCTGTTTATGGTTCTGTTTGGTGCTTAGTAGATAAAGTTTAGGATTGTGTGCTCCCAAATATGGCAGTTGATAAGTTGACATAACTACTCTGCTACTAAAATTGGAATGGTTTTTTTTGTTCCAATTAGAATAAAGCTGCTTAATTTTATTTAAAAACAGTCTTGGAGATTGTATGTGCTTTAACATGCTACTATTACTTTTATTTTTGTCCAGATCCAGAAGAATTCTTGAATATTTTATTTCATCATATTTTAAGAGTAGAGCCACTGTTAAAAATAAGGTAAAATGCTCTTTTGACTAAGCAATAAAAATGTATGTGTTGAACTCTTACAGCAGATTTATCCCGGCAATGATGCTAGCGTCAGTGCAGGAGCTGAAGAAAGGTCTTCCACCCTTAGAGGCGGTCTAAGTTATGCCTCTTGCTAACATTGCCTCAAGCCTCATTGGGGATGTGACAGGGTGCTGAGTAAGGAGGGCTTAATCAGCCCCTTGCCACTCCAGCCCCAAACAAGGGGGATGGATTGGGGCTGGTTGAAGAGCCCTGTGCCTGCCTGGCAACGAGAAACAGCTGCCAGCCTAATTTAGCCAGGGGCTATAGAAGCTGGCAGGAAGGAAGCCAGGGGAAGAGAAAGGCCAGGCCAGGCACAGGGAGGGATGGGGCTGGGGCCGGGCCCTCTGGTCTGCTGCTGGCAAAGTTTGGCTGAAAAACCTGTACATGGATAGTAAGGTGGTGGTGCGAAACAGCTGTAAATAAAGAGCACTGGTGTTTGCATCAACCTAAGGCGTTCCTGGCTGATTGGCGAGGGAAGCAGGGGCAGAAACCAGAGGGGCCCAGCTTACGCCCCACTACAGGGGGGTATCGCCAAAACATATTACTGCTTTGGCTGTGCCTACTGCTGCCTCTGGCTTGCTCCTAAAAGCCCTTTGTGTCAAGGTTTTTGCTTCCCTGGGAATGGTGTAAAGGTCTCCTCCCCCTGTTTCTTGTACGTGTTGGCCTTATGTGCCTGACTTTTATGGCCCCTCTCTACCAGCAGAGCTAACCCACAGGGCCCATAGAGCAATTCTGAATCTAGCCCTTAGTGTGTAGCCAGTTACTTTTGGAACAACTTTTTGAAGCAATCTTAAGCAGTAGAATCTGACATAAAATATTTTGGCTTTTCAGGAAAAATATTATAATTTGCTTTGGAGGAAGCATAAAGATTTTGATTTCTTATTTCTTTTAAAGTTAAACACATGCAGTCCTCATTTAAAAATAATTCTTTATAAAATTTGTAAGGCCTCATTCTCCCCTATGCAAGTTATTCTTTCTAAGGCAGGAGGAAAGAACTCTGCAAAACTTAACTCATGGAGTTTTATATTCATTCTTTGGGAATAGGATGTTGGGGTTTATTCACCTCCATACCCACATAGGATTGGCAGAGATTTAGCCCCCTAAATCTGCACGTCTTTGGGCTTGCAATGGAAGTAAGGTCTATTGCATGGAGGGCCTACTGCTTCCATGCTGTTGCCTAGCCCTTGCCTTTCTGTGGCCCCTTGACAATACATCTCTTGCAGCAGCCTTGTTGCCAGGAATTTCCCAAGGGCTTCTTTCACTGGGAATCCCTTGCTCCCCATAGGCTCTGCAGTAAACTTCCCTGAATTGCCCTGCAGATTTGAGTTGAGATTACTAAACCTATTGTGGTCAGCTCCTAGCCCTCCCCTTTGGAGCTTCTTCAGAGAAGCTTCTGTAAGTTGTGGGAAAAGATAGAGGAAGCATGCTGGGGAGCTGGCACACTCTACTTTCCTCCTCTTGCTACCCTAGCCCAGATTCATGGGCTTTTGTCTCCCCTCCTCTCTCAAAAAATAAGGAAAAACTGAGTCCATATAGAGAATATTTTCAGAATATAACTTGCAACATCCTGGCCCACTATACTGCAGTATTTCAGCACTATGAAACTGATAATTTGCCTAATCAATCTCTAGAAATTGTGGATGTTCCAGATGTAACAGTTTGGGAATTTTGGATATGCAAATTAAAATAGATGTAGTATAGTTTTATAGTTGAACAAAATGTAAAGAATGCTTTAAGCTCAAGGATTCCCAATGCTGTGCTTTCTTAGGCCTGGTCTACACTACGAGTTTAGGTCGACTTTAGCCACGTTAAATCGACTTAAGCCTGGACACGTTTACACTACGAAGCCCTTTCTGTCGACTTAAAGGGCCCTTTAAACCGGTTTCCTAACACCACCTCGACAAGGGGATTAGCGATAAAATCGACCTTAGGGGGTCGGAATTGGGTTAGTGTGGACGGAATTCGACATTACTGGCCTCCGGGAGCTATCCCACAGTGCTTCATTGTGACCGCTCTGGACAGCACTCTCATCTCAGATGCACTGGCCAGGTAGACAGGAAAAGCCCCGCGAACGTTTGAATTTCATTTCCTGTTTGCTCAGCGTGGAGAGCACAGGTGACCATGCAGAGCCCATCAGCACAGGTAACCCTGATGGAGTCCCAGTCCCAGGATCGCAGAAGAGCTCCAGCCTGGACCGAACGGGAGGTACAGGATCTGATCGCCATCTGGGGAGATGAAGCAGTGCTCGCCGAACTCCGAAACAGTAAAAGAAACGGCAAAACATTAGAAAAGATCTCCAAGGCCATGAAGGACAGAGGCCATAACAGGGACGCGCGGCAGTGCCGCGTGAAAATTAAGGAGCTAAGGCAAGCCTACCACAAAGTCAGAGACGCAAACGGAAGGTCCGGGGCAGAGCCGCAAACATGCCGCTACTACGCGGAGCTGCATGCCATTCTAGGGGGTGCAGCCACCACTAGCCCAAGCGTGTTCTATGAGTCCCTCTCTGCAAACGGGGAAGCGGGTTCGGCGGACGAGGAAGATGAGGATGGAGAGAACATAGATAGCTCACAGCAGCAAGGAAGCGGAGAAACCAGTTACCCCAACAGCCAGGATATGTTTGTCACCCTGGACCTGGAAACAGTAACCTCCGAACTCACCCAAGACCCTGAGGGCACACAGGGGACCTCTGGTGAGTGTACCTTTGCAAAAATTACACATAGTTTAAAAACAAGCGTGTTTAATGATTAATGATTAATTTGCCCTGGCAATCGCGGCCAGTACAGCTACTGGAAAAGTCTGTTAACGTGTATGGGGATGGAGCGGAAATCCTCCAGGGACATCTCCAGAAAGCTCTCCTTCATGTAATCCCAAAGCCTTTGCAAAAGGTTTCTGGGGAGGGCTGCCTTATCCCGTCCGCCATGGTAGGACACTTTACCACGCCAGGCCAGTAGCACGTAGTCTGGAATCATTGCATAACAAAGCATGGCAGCGTATGGTCCCGGTGTTTGCTGGCATGCAGACAACATCCATTCCTTATCGCTCTTTGTTATCCTCAGGAGAGTGATATCATTCACGGTCACCTGGTTAAAATGGGGCAATTTTATTAAGGGGACATTCAGAGGTGCCCCTTCCTGGTCTGCTGAACAGAAATATTCCCCGCTGTTAACCACGCGGTGGGGGGGAGGGGTGAAGTGACCATCCCAGAGAATTGGGTGTGTGGGGGAGGGGAGTTAGTTGGGTTTGTGCTGCATGTTAAACCTGAAATCGCATCCCCTCCTTTTACATTGCAAACCCATTTTAAATGGCACGGGTGCTTGGTATGGGAAATGAGGGCAGAACTGTTTGAAACCATCCCCACATGTTAAGAAGGTTAAAAAAGCCCAAAGACTATATGTCTTACCATATATGTGAGACATCTGTGTCTCACACCAAACCAGGAGACTCTCAATATAAGAGGAAAAATGCGACCTTGTAACGAAAGCACATGTGCTGTGTGATGTTGTGAACAGCAAAATCTAACGTGAAAGAGTCTACCCATTGTTCTCTAAAATGTATCTTTTTTAACAACCTCTCCCTTCTCCACCAGCTGCAAATCTTACTCCTTCGCAGAGGCTAGTGAATATTCGAAGAAGGAAGCGAAGGACGCGTGACGAAATGTTTACTGAACTTCAGACTGCCTCCCACGCTGACAGAGCACAGCTGAATGCGTGGAGGCAGTCAATGACTGATTTTAAAAAAGCCCAATATGAGCGAGAGGAGAGGTGGCGTGCTGAAGAGGAGAAGTTGCGTGCTGAAACGCGGGCTGAAGAGGAGAGGTGGCGTCAACTTGTAATCAGAAAGCAAGAGTCGATGCTCCGGCTGCTGGAGCATCAAAGTGATATGCTCCTGCATATGGTTGAGCTGCAGGAAAGGCAGCAGGAGCAGAGACCGCCGCTACAGCCCCTCTGTAACCAGCAGCCATCCTCCCCAAGTCCCATTGCCTCCTCACCCAGACGCCCAAGAACACGGTGGGGGGGCCTTCGGCCACCCACTCACTCCACCCTAGATGATTTCCATAGCAATAAGTTTTAAAGTTTTAAATTGGAGTGTGTCCTTTTCCTTCCCTCCTCCCCCACCCATCCCGGGCTACCTTTCCAATTATCCCCCTAGTTGTGTGCTGAATTAATAAAGAATGCCTGAATGTGAAGTATCAATGACTTTATTGCCTCTGCAAGTGGTGCTCGAAGGGGGGAGGGTAGTAGGGGAGGGTGGGGTGGTTGGTTTGCAGGGAAGTAGAGTTAACAGGGTGGTGGGGGAGGGGCAGAGGGTTCATCAAGGAGCAACAAACAGAAGTTTCACTCCGTAGCCTGGCCAGTCACAAAACTGGTTTTCAACGCTTCTCTGATGCGCACCGCGCCCTGCTGTGCTCCTCTAACCGCCCTGGTGTCTGGCTGCGCGTAATCAGCGGCCAGGCGATTTGCCTCAACCTCCCACCCCGCCATAAATGTCTCCCCCTTACTTTCACATATATTGTGGAGCGCACAGCAAGTAGCAATAACAATGGGGAGATTCTTTTCGTTAAGGTCTGAGCGAGTCAGTAAGCTGCGCCAGCGCGCTTTTAAACGGCCAAATGCACATTCCACCACCATTCGGCACTTGCTCAGCCTGTAGTTGAACAGGTCCTGACTGCTGTCCAGGCTGCCTGTGTATGGCTTCATGAGCCATGGCATTAAGGGGTAGGCTGGGTCCCCAAGGATCACGATAGGCATTTCAACATCCCCAACGGTTATTTTCTGGTCTGGGAAGAAAGTCCCTTCCTCCAGCTTTCGAAACAGAAGAGACTGCCTGAAGACGCGAGCATCATGTACCCTTCCCGGCCAGCCCACGTTGATGTCGGTGAAACGTCCCTTGTGATCCACCAGGGCTTGCAGCAGCATTGAAAAGTACCCCTTGCGGTTTATGTAGTCGGTGGCTTGGTGCGCCGGTGCCAAGATAGGGATATGGGTTCCGTCTATGGCCCCACCACAGTTTGGGAATCCCATTGCAGCAAAGCCATCCACTATGGTCTGCACGTTTCCCAGAGTCACTACCCTTGATATCACCAGGTCTCTCATTGCCCTGGCAACTTGGATCACAGCAGCCCCCACAGTAGATTTGCCCACTCCAAATTGATTCCCGACTGACCGGTAGCTGTCTGGCGTTGCAAGCTTCCACAGGGCTATCGCCACTCGCTTCTCCACTGTGAGGGCTGCTCTCATCCTGGTATTCTGGCGCTTCAGGGCAGGGGAAAGCAAGTCACAAAGTTCCATGAAAGTGCCCTTACGCATGCGAAAGTTTCGCAGCCACTGGGCATCGTCCCAGACCTGCAACACGATGCGGTCCCACCACTCTGTGCTTGTTTCCCGGGCCCAGAATCGGCGGTCCACGGCATGAACCTGCCCCAGTAACACCAAGATTTCCACATTGCTGGGGCTTGTGCCTTGTGAGAGGTCCATGTCAATTTCCTCATCACTATCGTCGCCGCGCTGCAATCGCCTCCTCCTCAGCTGGTCCTGGTTTGGCTTTGGCATGTCCAGGAGGCTCTGCATGTTTTCCAGGACAATGCGCGTGGTGTTCATAGTGCTCATAATTGCCGCGGTGATCTGAGCGGGCTCCATGATCCCAGTGCTGGCTATGGCGTCTGGTCTGAAAAAAGGCGCGAAAGTAGTATCTGACGGACCAGGGGAAGAAGGGAGGGAGGGAGAGAGGGAGGGAGGGAGGGAGGGGCGAGTGACGACATGGCATACAGGTACAGGGAATTAAAATCAAGAAAGGTGGCTTTGCATCAGTGAGAAACACAAACAACTGTCACACAGAATGCCCCCCCCCAAAGATTGAACTCAAAAGCCTGGGTTTAGCAGGAGGAAGGGGGGGGAAGCAAATGAATACAGAATAAATCTATTTTTTACATCTTAAGACGACGGTGCAGCATGACTGATAGCCCTTGGCATTTTCTGGGTGCTTGGCAACAAATACTGGGCGCTTGGCAGTTAGCCTTCAGGTCTATTGCACGATCTGATACCCAGTATGACAACGATGGATACCAGTCGTAATATACTATCTACTGCCCAAAAGGCAAGGGGTTGCTGCTGTGTAGCAATGTTGCCCCATCCTGCGCATAATACGTCTGATAACCATCATCATCAAGGCAAGGGGGCTGGTGCAATGCAGCCCCACGGCTGCCAGCCCCATGTCTGCCAGCACCCAGATAGCCCTCGGCCTCTTCTGGGTGCTTAGCAGACAATATTGGGCACTTGGCAGAAAATAGCATACTACGACTGATAACCATCATTGTCTGCCCGGGTGCCCATGATCGACAGCCACTGCAGTACGATGACGACGGTTACCAGTCGTAATATACCATCTTCTACCAAAAGGCAAGGGGCTGGTGCAATGCAGCCCTACGGCTGCCAGCCCCACGGCTGCCTGCACCCAGATCGCCAATGAAGGCTACCAGTCATGCTGCACCGTCTACCGCCAAAAGGCAGTAAGCTGCTGCTGCTTTTTAGCAATGCAGTCCCACGTTTGCCGGCACCCGGAAGAGATATGGTGACGGTGAGCTGAGCTGAGCGGGCTCAATGCTTGGCGTGGTATGTTGTCTGCACAGGTAACCCAGGTAAAAAGGCGCGAATCTATTGTCTGCCGTTGCTGTGACGGCGGGGGAGGGGCCTGACGCAATGTACCCAGAACCCCTCGCGGCACTGCTTTGCATCATCCGGGCATTGCGATCTCAACCCATAATTCCAATGGGCGCCGGAGGCTCCGGGAACTGTGGGATAGGTACCATAGTGCAATGCGCCGGAAGTCGACGCTAGCCTCGGTACTGTGGACGCGGTCCGCCGACTTCATGCACTTAGAGCATTTTAGGTGGGGACACACACAATCGGCTGCATACAACCGGTTTCTATAAAACCGGCTTCTATAAATCCGACCTAATTCTGTAGTGTAGACATAGCCTCAAAGGGACAGTGAAGAGACAAACGTCATACTTTCAAAGAAGATACTCTTTATCAGAGTTCTTGGTGACAGACTTTAGCATGTATTGCATTTTAATAATCTGGAGCTCAGTATTTCCCCCCACACAAGCAGATGGGTGGGCTGGAGAATTAAATGAAAGTGAGGAAGAGCTCCTCTGCTTTATGCCTGCCTCTTACCTATCTTTTCTGCAGCACCTCACAGAGGCCTTTTCTCCCTGTTCCATAAAGATGGGACACTGAGGCAGTTTGTATAATGGGTAGGGCAAGGCTGGATAGCTGCAACTTTGAGTTTTATGCTCTGAGAATCCTCCCTTATATCCAGGCAGAAGTTAATGCTGCTTATTACAGCATTGATCTGTGCTCTAAGGTGGCAGTTATTGCACAGACAAAGAAGTTTAATGACAGTGTGTCCTCAGGAATCCATGCTGGCTAGGCAGAAAGTCCAGCAATGCGCTGAAGTAGCTTCTCTATAATGTCCTTTCCCTGTGATCTGTGGGGTTAGAGGCCAATGATGGACTCTCACATACCCCTTTTCCCTGATGGGAGCATTAGTCAGTCTTTCCAGCATGAACATTTAATTTACTAAGGTCTTTTTGCAGACTTACTGCAGAAGGGTATGATATGACTTACGATGTAATTTTTAGTCTTTCTGCTATCTTACTACTTGCACCTTCACTCAGCTTTCAGAGTGAAAATTGCCTTGGTGAGTCTCGTTTTCTGATACTCATGCATTTGAAAGTGTTTCTGTTGGTGTTTCCAACAATGCATAGGGCTGCATTTTTTAAAACATTAATCAAAATATTTCTATTCCTTTAAATGTTTTTTTTATAAAACACCCTTTTCCTCAATTCTACCTGTGCTTATCCACTACTTGACCGTGTCCCTTTAAGCTTTTATTTGTGGCAACCTGAAAAGTGCCTAGTATTAAAAAGTTGTTATAAAAATGAAAATACACCTCTACCCCGATATAACGCAACCCAATATAACACGAATTCGGATATAACGTGGTAAAGCAGCGCTCCGGGAGGGCGGGACTGCGCACTCTGGCGGATCAAACCAAGTTTGAAATAACGCAGTTTCACCTATAACGCAGTAAGATTTTTTTTTTTTGGCTCCCGAGGACAGCGTTATATCGAGGTAGAGGTGTACACTTAAACGTAAAGGGAATGATATGTAATGGTTTTCTTCGAGTATTTGTACATGTGGATCCCACTCATGGTCCACATGCACTGTATGTGTAGGAGTTCAGAATGTTTTTTCCAGCAGTATCTATTAGGGGTCATTTGTGAGTCTTGCATGCCTCACGCACTACCTCTTTCAAGGGCATAAAAGACCATGTAACCCCAACCTCCACGCAGTTCCTTCTGACTCTCTGCCAAGGGGCAGTCAGAACAACTTCCATATTCCTTGCTTAATCTTAGATAATTTTTTACTTTGTGTTTACTGTAGCTTTTTTTATAGTTATTTGTGTTTCCTTTAGCCTACTGGCTACTGTAAGTATGTTAACCATTGTTAAAAAATTCCATTTATTTTGAAGATCTATTTTATATGTATTTTTAGATCAGCAGGTCAAAAGGTACAAGACTGTTACTTCTACCAAATTTTTATGGAGAAAAATGAGAAAGTTGGAGTCCCGACAATTCAGCAGTTACTGGAATGGTCTTTTATCAACAGCAGCCTGAAGTTTGCAGAGGTTGGTGACAGTTGTTAGTTTGTTTATACAGATTTGACCTTTTACACAGTGGAAAATATTCTGTTTATAAAAAAGGAGAAATGTATATTTTTGGTATCTCAATCACTGGGTGAACATTCAGTATTTATGAGAAGAGTGGTCTACTAGTAGTGGTTGAAAAAATGCTTGATATTACCTTTTCTAAAATCTCTTTGAGATGGTTTAGTATGTCTCTGTCATTTGACCAAAGTGATTGGAAATAAGGCTAATGTTTTGGTATATTTAAAGTTAATTTTCTTTTGTTAATAATTTAATTTTACAGAGGAATAAGATTTGTGATCTCTGCATGTGTTAAAATTGTGCAGAGACTGGCTGTTCAGGGGAGGGGAATTAGTATATGTTTTAATATACCATTTAAACATGGCTGGTACCTACTGCACATGAAGAATTAGGTTAGAGTCCTTTCTTCTTACGTTTTTAGAATTTTTATGAGATTACAGAGATATATTTGTAAACATTAAATTATTTTTGTTTCATTTGTTATTTTGGTTAATGATATATAGGCATGTGGCCTATTAGCTTTAAAAACATTAATATGATTTAGCAACTATAAACCAATATAATATTAGGTGAAAATTATAAAACACGTGTATATTTTGAAGATCTAAATTGCTTTCTATTTTGGGATTTTTGGTAGGCACCCTCATGTCTGATTATTCAGATGCCTCGATTTGGAAAAGACTTCAAAATGTTCAACAAAATATTTCCATCTCTGGAATTAAATATAACAGACTTACTTGAAGACAGTAAGTATAAACTGTTGCTAGGTATAGTAAAAGTAAGTAGCCTGGTAGCCATATGCAAGACTATATTAAAAATGTAGAAGTCTGCAAAATAGACTGAGCTTGGAATGAACTTTTGATCATTTCATACTCAGGGAAACTATCATAACCAGTAAACTTTTTTTTTCTTTAAGCGGTGTGACCACACCCCACCTTTAAGTGGGGGAACTATTGTCTGGCTTGCTGAGGGAAAGGGAACAGTGCTTTATGGGTAGGGTGCGGGACGAGAGGTCAGAAGCTGCTGCAAAAGAAGGCGTGGATCAATGTTGTGTGATGACTCATCCCCTGGGACCAGAAGGGTGGAGAGGGGTGAAAGAGAGCAAGCTCTTTTTCTGCAGAGGAGGCAAGGCCGCACCCACCCTCCCTCCCCTTGAGGTGGCAAAATATCAAGTTTGGTCAGGACCTGCTGTGGGTAACACGCTAGCCACTCCTTTAGGGGGCTTGGGGGCGGGGAGGGGGTTCCCTCAGCACCAAATTGGCCGGGGGGGGGGGGTTTAGGGGAGGGGAGAAGGGGTTCGCTTTCCCCACAGCAGTTTCAAGGAGGGCTTTGTTATGGTGTGGACTGAAAGGAGTTAAGCTATATGTTGCAACTTATTATGTAAGTGTGGCTCAGATGTCCAGTGCAGGTAGTTCATAGGGAAGGTGTACAGTGACTGAATAAATGGCCTAGTAAAAGGACTTAAAAAGGAAGTGTTAGTTAATGGAACAGAACAGAGGGATGGGTTTGGGGCTCCTATGAATGGCTTGGCAGGGAGCCAACCCCCACCCCCTTTTATAGCCCACCTTACGAAGGAGGGGTTGGATGGTAAGGACCCAGCAGTGGGTTGGCTGGGGGATCTGGCTAGGAAAAGTGGGGGGAGGCCTTGCAGAAGCCCCCGGAGTAGTTATTGAATGAACATAGTTACCTGCACTGTATGCTTTTATCTGCCGGGTACTCCCAGACATCTGATGAGAAAGTTGTGGCCTGATTAAATCCATATCAGGTGTTTCCTGTCCGACTTTTGGTATAGTCGGACCCTGTGGGTGTTCCACTTCAGGTGTGTCTGTGCCTTTTGAGTGGAGATTTTTGGTAGCAGTGCCCATTTGGCCCACTCATGTCCCCTATGAATTATCGTGCCCTGCTCTGGAGTTATAGGGAGCTGCGTGGGTGAAATATCCTCAGTTTCTTCTCAACCACGTTTGGTCAGAGATTCTACTGAGTGCCTGTTTGCTATAGTATTCTTTAGTTAGCATATAGTTAGTTACCTTATAATGTGCATAGCTGTTGGAACAGTTCCCTTTTTTCTCTTTGTAAAAATAATTTTTAAAAAAATGTATTACTATATAGATGGCAGTTAAGAGTGCCAGACTCTCCAGGATTCAAAAGGTGCCTCCTCTGTGAGGCGATTTCCCTTCTGTGGGTGACATTCCCAGAGCCTCTGCTGTTTGGGAGAAACAGATCCTTCAAGGGCAGATTCCAAAAAAATAGGGAAATCAAGTTCAAACTTCTGATGATGGATAGAGCTTTATGACCAGCTTCAGATCAAGGGGCTGAGGAGTCCCCTGTACATAGGCCTTCCAGTACCACTAGTGCCCTGTGCACATCAAGATATTGGTCACAGGAGACCGGTAGAGAGGTAGACTACCTTGGTACCAAGCACAACTAGGGTAGCAAAGTCCTCTATAGAGGTAGCCTCAACATCTGCCTGTTGCAAAAGGAGGTAGGAGTAAATCTCCAAGAAAATCTCAGGCTATGTCTACACTACCGCAATAAGTTGACCTATGCTACGCAACTCCAGCTACCTGAATAATGTGGCTGGAGTCGACGTACCTTAGGTCAGGTTACTGCCGGGTCTATGCTGCCGGGGGTCGACGGGAGAAAATCTCCCGTCGACTTGCCTTACTCTTCTCGTTGGGGGTAGAGTACAGGGATTGTCTGGAGAGCGATCTGCAGTCAATTTGGCAGATCTTTACTAGATCTGCTAAATCGACTGCCGGTGGATCGATCTCAGAGCGTCGATCCGTGCTGTAGGATAGACTTGCCCTTAGTCACTGACACAGAAATTGACAGAGACCTCAAGTCCCATGAAGGCTGTGAGTGATGCCGGTACTGAAAAGGTGAAGAGGTGTCAGTCTTCTCAGGCAGACTCAATACTGGGTTCGGGTACGCATACCCAGAATGGCAGAGACACTGGTTAAAGTTCTAAGGCTGTCCCTGGCTACTGGTAACATGAAAGTCAACAGTACCAAATATCGTTGTCCACCTATGGTACCAATGAAATTGAAGTCAACTCACTCCTATGCCAAATGTTTGGTACCAGCTGCATTGGTACTGAAGCCATCTTCCAGAAGTTTTTGCTCGATCCCTTCTTTGATACCTAAATTCTTGTGATATCAATGTTATCCTAAGGACTTGCTAATATCTTTGGAGCCCGAGTCTCCTCTGTTAACAAGTTGGGGGGGTGTCAGCATCAAGACTTGGTCACTGACTCCTCTGTTATCTACAGTTTCATACCTTCCTATACTTGAACAAGCTCAACAACTATTCCCTCTTCTCCCCCCCCACCCCCACCCCACCGTTGAAGTATATGGAAGAGGATTCTTCAGATTCCCAAATATCCGTGCAGGGTTCCCCTGTTTATTGTGGGACATATTGCTATCTCTCCTACACTGACATAATACAGGAGGATAGACCTCAAGTGACACCCACATGACTGGAACACAGATGTATGCCTCCACCTATGCCATTTTGCCCCCCTCAGTCACCTTTCTGGGACTTGTGTGCATTCTATTGTCAACAATTTACAATGAGATTGTCACACCACAGGAAGGGGCAGAAAAAGGCCCATTTTCCAAAACCACCTATGTCAGGAAGAGCAGGAAGCTAGGGCAGATAAGAAGGTGACTCCTCTCACTAAAATTTCTGCCTCATTACCTGATGCAGCCGTGATGTTTCCACCACCTCCTATGGCATATGACTTCAGGCAGTTCCAAGAATTGCTGAAACGAATCACAGACACACTTCGGATTCGCTTAGAGATGCAGGAGCTCCATCGTAAACTCCTAGATATTTTGAATACTTTGACATCTATAAGGATTGCCATTCTGGTCAATGAAACTGTTATGGAGCCCACTAACGCTGTTTGGCAAATCCTAGCTTCCACACCACCTACCTGTAAGAGGGCACATAAAATATTAGGTCCCTGCAAAGGAATCAGAGTTTCTATTTTCTCACCCAGCTCTGAATTCCCTAGTAGTGGAGACTGTTAATGAACAAGGCAGACAGCATAGCTCAAAGTACACCCTGTACAGTAAGAACTACAAGAAACTAGATCTTTTGTCACAAATTTTATTCTTTAGTGAAATTTCAGAATAGCAAACCATCAGGCACTCTTGGTCAAATACGACTATTTGGATTATAACAGATTTAATTAGTTTATTGAGCACTTGCCAGGGGAACATCTTGTACAACGGTCTTAAATTGTTCATGAGGGTCAACTGCTGGCAAAGACATCACTCCAGGTCTCCTTTTGATAGTACTGATACATCAGCATGGTTTATATCCACTGCATTGGTTATGGAAGAGCATGTTGGCTACAGCTGTTGGGCTTCCCAAGAGAGAGGTCCAGATGACGTTGAAGACTTTCCCTTTGATGGTCGCACATTCTTTGCAGACTCAACAGATGCACTTTTCCACAGTTCAAGGGTTGCAGAATGGTTCTTGAGTCCTTTAGAAATGTATGTCCTGTTAAGAAGAGATTTAGTATAGTGCAGGGGTGGGCAAACTACGGGCTGTGTCTGGCCCATTAGACCTTTTAATCTGGCCTTCAAGCTCCTGCCGGGGAGCAGGGCTGGGGGCTTGCCCCGCTCTGCGCGGCTCCTGGAAGCAGCAGCATGCCTCTTCCCCCCCCTCCCCCCAGCTCCTACTCGTAGGCGCAGCCAGGAGCTCTGCATACTGTCCCCGCCCCAAGCGCTGGCTCTGCAGCTCCCATTGGCTGGGAACCACAGCCAATGGGAGGTGCAGGGGGCGGTGCCTGCAGACTGGGCAGCACACATTGCAGCCTGGTCATCCGCTGCACCTCCACATAAGGAGACGGAGGGGTGGCATACTGCTGCTTCCGGGAGCTGCTTGAGGTAAGCGCCGCCTGGACCCTGCACTCCTGACCTCCTCCTGCGTCCCAACCCCCTTCCCCAGCCCTGATTCCCCCTCCCATCCTCCGAATCTCTCGGTCCCAGCCTGGAGCCACCCTCCTGCACCCCAAACCCCTCATTCCCAACCCCACCCCAGAGCCCCCTTCTGCACTCCAAATGCCCCAGCCCAGAGCCCCTTCCCGCACCCTGAAACCCTGATTTCTGGCCCCACCCTGGAACCCGCACCTCCATCCGAGGGCCCATACCCCCTCCCACACTCCAACCACCTGCCTTTGCCTGGAGCCCTCTCCCATACTCTGAACCCCTCTGCTCCACCTCCTGCACCCCGAACCCATCATCTCTGGCCCCACCCCAGAGCCTGCACCCCCAGCTGGAGCTCTCACCCCTCCCGCACTCCAACCCCCAATGTTGTGAACATTCATGGCCCGCCGTACAATTTCCATATCCAGATGTGGCCCTCAGGCCAAAAAGTTTGTCCACCCCTGCCATAGTGGGACTTTCCAGTGGAGAAGGAACTGAGGGCAGTTTGCCTGCGCAGCTCCATATAGCCTTGGTGTGGGGCACAAGGATGTGTGGGTCACGAGCACGGGAAAAGGGGCATTACTACCAAAATGTTAGCTCAAAGGTGCAGGATGCCGGCGTACCTGAAGTGGAACACCCATGGGGGACACATCTCAAAGAGTTACTGCACAAGGTGAGTAATCGCTCCTCTTCACAATAATTCAAAGCTCTGTCTTGAAGACGTTGTAGAATGTAGATTTGTGTCTGGATATACTCCTTTACCCTCTCTCTCTTTTTTTAAATACTTCGGGGATAGAATTAAATCTTAATTCTAGTCATTGTCAGGACATGTGTGAATAGTGTTTCATTAGAATTTGTTTTTCTAGTTCTAAGGAATAATTACATGTTAGCAGCTGTAAGAGGTGTTACAGCACAAGTATGATGCGTATCAGAATTGTGGGTGAATAGTGGTCATCTAGAGGCAAGTAATAGCTCTGAGATCAGCTAAGTGAAAGACTTTGAACAGGGAATGACAGTCAAGTTTCACCTGCCGGTGCTCCAGATCCACCAGAGTAGTGCCTAAAACACCTAGGGTAGGTCTGCGCTATCGCTCAAGTCTATTTAACTTACATCGCTCAGGGGTATGAAAAAGACCCCGTCCCCCCCCGCCAAGCAACGCCAGTTAACAGTGACCTAAGCACTGTCCACACCGGTGCTATGTCGGCAGCAGGTGCTCTTCCACCTCTCATGGAGGTGGAGTAATTATGCCAATTGGAGAGCTCTCTCCCATCAGCATGGAGCGTCTTCACCAGACGCACTACAGCAGCACAGCTGCATCAGTGAACTGCACTGATGTAGTAGTGCTTCTAGCGTAGACTAGCCCTCAGTCTTCTCTTTCTGTAGCTTGCCTTGCTGGTGTCTGTTCACCAAACTGGACCAAAAATCAGTTCAATTTTTTATTAGAAGTAAAAATACTCTACATTTTTTATGTAATTGAAAAGAAGAAAGGAAAAAAACTGGGAATTTTAGTATTTTTAGCTGTAATTTGTGATGTAGTGTTTATATTGGAAAGGCTGGGATGACCTTAATTTCTGGGACTGCTAGTCACCTCTTGAACAAAAACATATATAATACCTACTTCTCTGTTTCAATACAATACCTGTAGGTAAATCTCTAGTTTAAAATTGGTTGAAATTACTTCAAATATCTAACAATAGCTACTTTTTATTAACTTCTAATCTTCTGGAATGTGGCTTTAGATGACCCACCGTGGCTTTTCAATTAGTTGAGTTAAGGGTTTGTTTGTGGTTCTTTACTTAGGTTCTGATTAAATGCTAAGCTATTTTAATGAGTGCAACACTCACTAGATTAAGAAAATAAGTTTTTAAAAGAGAGCAGGAATAACTTGTGGAGTATGCTTTATAAAAAAAAAAAAAAAAAAAGCATGTGTGCTGTTACATCCAGTAAACCAGTACTGAAACACTTTCTACATCAGCTGTATTTCTGAGGTTAAGGCTTAGTACTTAAGTGTGTGTGTGTTTGTGTGTGTCTCTCTCTCTCTCTCTCTCTCTCTCTCTCATTCTCTTTCCCTCCCACCCCCCCACTGTAGACTAGTAAAATAGCAAAAGTTAAGCCCACAGAAAATAATGATGGGCTTTATTTTTGTCTTTTTTAATTGGCGGCAATGATGTTAACTGGCTTAATGTAGGTTATATTTTTGGATCAAAATAGATCTTTTGTACAAAAATCTGAGACAAAGCATTTTTATTTTTTTACCATAATGTAGCTCCTAGGCAGTGCCGCATATGTGGAGGACTTGCAATGTATGAATGCAGAGAATGTTATGAAGATACTGACATTTCTGCTGGAAAAATCAAGCAGTTTTGTAAAACCTGCAACACACAAGTAAGTGTAATTTTTTTTTTTTTTTTAAATTCTATGGTCCTTTAACCAGTATGTACTCGCAACTTGGTGTAGTATAATAGTATCAGAAGGCACAGACTGACACGTGGAAGCAGGGATATTGGCAATTGGGCACAACATGAAGGGTGCAGTCCTCATTAACAAGATAAGACTCTTGATTTAATTCATTAACACACCCTTGATGACTACATCTATTGAGCAGCATTTTTAGTAGCCTTTGGCAACTACATAGTCCAACGTTGTGAACCAATGAGGAGAATGCAGTAATTCCAGTTTACAAGGGCTTGGAATCCTTTAACTTTGGTCAACAGGAGAGCACCCAATAGTAAAAGCAGAAAAGTAATACTTCTCATTTTCTGTGTTGCTGGTTCAAATTCAGTTCTGGGTAGTAGTGACTGAGTACTGTCTGGTTACTGTTTGACATGTTAAATTATGATGGTGTTGAGCTGGTTCCCAGTGGGCAGGTGTCCATTTCCAATAAAGGTATCAATAGTGATGATTATTTTTGTAAGTCTGGGGGGGGGGGGGGGGGCACAAAGACTTGAATAGGTTTGGAGACTGAACTCCTCTGATCTCTAGAGTGGGCTTCTCCGTGGCAGGTTGGAGCTACATTTGGTATAGGGGAACTTGCACTGCTATTGTCCATGTCAGACCTGTTCTTTGGTTAAGTAAGACTTCATTCTCTAGTGCTGTCAGTCTGCCCTTTTAAAAAGAGTGCCCCCCCCCCCCACACACACACAGTTGCTGACTTTCACATGGTAAATAAGCACCCTGACACTCACAATAAGCCCAAAATCAAGCTAATCCCATTTCAAAAGGCCAAAACAAGCCAATCCCTAAGAACCCCAACACTCTCTATGTGACTAGATCCCCGCGGTGTGCAGTCTGGGACTGTGGTGGGTCCTCTGTGCACCCCTGACTCTCTCACCTCCCTCCCTCCCCCCAGCCCCTGCTTGCCGGGAGACGATCAAAAAAAAAAAAAAAAACAAGCTACAAGCCAAACAAGCAAGAAGCTACAAGCCAGAAACTAACTAACAAGCAACTCATAAATCAATTAAGCTAAAAACAAGCCCAATTTCTGCGTTGTTTTCGCGGGTCTGCCCCCCAGGTGTGTTGGTGGTTTTTTTTTTCCCTCTTTCTGAAATATTGATCTAACTCTAGGTTCACCTACATCCCAAGAGACAGAGTCATAAATTCAATCCAGTGTCACTTCCTAAAGATCTACCAGATTGGGATTGGAGACATGGATGTATCCCTTGCCAGAAGATGGAGTTATTTGCTGTTCTCTGCATAGAAACAAGCCATTATGTAGCTTTTGTTAAATATGGGAAGGATGACTCCGCCTGGCTCTTCTTTGACAGCATGGCAGATCGGGATGGTATATTTTTACTTAATTTTTTCTGTTAGACTGTCACATTAAACAATGTTAGCTCTTAAATACTGTGACTATAAAAGTTTTCCAGTACCAGAACATGTCATGTCATGAGGCTTGAAAAGTAATTTTATTTTTAAATGCCAAGACACACAAATCTGTTTTTGTTTAGTTTAAGTCCACTGGACTGTAGCTATTTAATAACTATACAGTGTGCAACTGTCATTCTCACATCTCCAAAATCTCAGGCTTAAGCAATTCAAACGGTAGCTGTCTTTGGCATAATAGAAATAAAATCTCTATATTGCAAAATCAGTGCCCTCTGGTTTGGTAGCAGTGGGAGACCATTATCCTATGATAAGATTTTGTTTAATTGACATTCTCTGAATTAACACTGGTGAATTGAGGTGGACAGTACTTCAGTACTTGTAGTACAGTACAGTACAGTACAGTACAGACATTCAGTACTTGTGGCTAGTGCCTTAGAAAAGCAGATAGTAATAGATACCACAGGCGTTCGACTAAGGGGAACAGTTGTATTTTTTTTGTGGTTTGCACATTATGATAGTTAATACAATGCCAACTGCAGAATGTTTATAAGCAGCTCCGATGATGATATGCAAGCCACAGTAGACTCCAGCTCTCTCTCCTATAGCTGTATTGGTTCTGCAGTGCTAGCAGGAATAAAAAGTTGCAGAAGTAAAAGTCCAGTAAAATACACAAATCTGACTGGTGCACACTGCAGATCTGTTGATTAAGATGTAATTTTTCTGAGTATAACTGTACTTCCCTATTGAATGCTTCAGCACACCTGATAGCACCCCATTAGTTAGGCAAGTAGTTAAGACTGGGGTGATAATGGCTTTGTGTGGTACAGCAATGCTATTTGACTGACCCATCGTCAAGTCCTCATGCTAGCTATGGGAATTAATTCACTAATCATGTTTCATTTAAACAGTTAAAATCAAAATAATTTATATTTGTTCATGAGGTTCCCATAAGCTTACAAATGGTTCCCGTGGGGTTACAAAAGCCTATTGTGGCAGTTGCAATCATTGGGGGTGTTAATACTTACTTACTACAGAAGTTCACCATGTAGTAACCCACAGTGACAGCTTTGGATTTGAGATGTTTCCATTTGGGGGGGTGGGATAGCTCACTGGTTTGAGCATTGGCCTGCTAAACCCAGGGTTGTGAGTTCAATCCTTTGAGGGAGCCATTTAGGGATCTGGGGTAAAAATCTGTCTGGGGATTGGTCCTGCTTTGAGCAGGGGGTTGGACTAGATGACCTCCTGAGGTCCCTTCCAACCCTGATATTCTATGATTCCAAGATGTGTTTCAAAGATGTACACATTAAAGAGGAAGTAGGGATGTTTAAGATGGTAGCCTAATCCTGTTGCTCTCCTTACTTCCCCCACAAAAGGAGGCCAGAATGGCTTTAACATTCCACAAGTTACACCATGCCCAGAAGTTGGAGAGTACCTAAAAATGTCTCTAGAAGAACTACATTCACTGGACTCCAGAAAAATTCAAGGATGTGCACGAAGACTACTTTGTGATGCTTACATGTGCATGTATCAGAGCCCAACCATGAGCTTGTACAAATGAACATTATACTCTGGAGAGGAGAAAAAAACTGTACGCAGATTTCTACTGTTGCATTCACTATACACCTTAGTCAGTTTTGATGCAACCGTTGCCGGCAATGGATGCTGTTATGGGGGAAAGCTGACTGCTAGAGCAAAAAGATGAATGTTTTAAAAACTACATGTAGAGTTCTGTTGTTGAAATATTTAATAAGCATTTTGCACTCTAGGAAGTGTGCGTGTGTGTTTGTTTTATAAACAAAGTCTAAATGAAGTTGCTAAAAACTAAAGCTTTAAGTTAAGTGCATTGATAATATGTTGATTTTTGAAATGAGAAAAGCTGAATTGTAACAGGAAAATCCTCCTTAGTCCATTGAAAATGTACACAGTGTGTGTTTACTTGCTCAGTGTATTTCTGTGGACCAAGGATGACTTCTTTCTTTTTCTTTTTTTTCTTTTTTTCTTTTTTTTGGTCTGTAGCAACAGTTGCCTTCAGGAAGGAATAATTTTGGTTTTAATAAGACTGGTTGATTTTAAACTGATCATTACAATTTACTTCTGTGGTCTTGTTAACCCTTAGCAGTCAACTGATATCATGCATGTCTACTTCTGTAGAATTCCAGGTCTACACAACACCCATAATCTCGAAACTGCTCTGTTCCTTGAGGTTTTTATTCCTGTTTTATTTGGGAAAGTCAAACATACCTTCCTTTCGTATGTGATACTTTTCTTCAGGGACTGGGGCAATACTGTCCAAGCATAACCGTAGATACATAAACTAACAGATGGAAGTGTCTTTAATATATATTTTTTGCGGAACATAAAATTAAATATATACAAATGTTTGGATGGCAAGCTAAACAATGTGGCTTATTGCCTCAGGGAATGTTAATAAAGTAGAATCTGTAGTCCTTAGTAAAATGAAGTTGACACTTTGACTATCCTACAACATACTGAGCTGCTATATGTAATAGGTCTAAATTTTTCATTGTTTGGGATCATTAATGTTAAAAATATAAACATCAGGAAAGATAAAATTACAAATTTAAAAAATAGCATTTTAAACATTCTACTTGGTACCTGGTACGTAAGAACAAAAAATGAGTTAGACTAGTTTAAAAAAAAAAAAATCACTCTAAAGTATTATTGATATTTTGTGACTTGGAAGTTGATTCTTATTTGCAATGGAATTCAATTGTATTAATTGCCTTTCAGCTACGTCTGTCTAAACTATTTTAAAAAATGTTTAGAAATGTCATGTGTGTACAGCAAAATTTGGATGTTGTAGAAATAATTATAGGTCATAAACTGCATTATTGTGGGTTGTAGCACATATTTTCAGATTTTTAAGAGCTGTTTTACATGAGTAACTGCCTCTCTGGGATCTACTCTTTGTAGAAAGGATGAAGAACAGATAAACGCACTATCATTTAAAACAAAACAAATAAAAAAACCTAATTCCAAAAGACTTTGGCTTCAGAATATTGTAAAAACTTGGTTAGTTTTGCACTTTTGTGCCAGAAAATGTAGAATATTTCTCTCTGGCTGTTTGATTGTTAGATACATGCTAGGGCAAGATTTGAGAATTGCATTGGAGTAGCTGGCGGACTAAAAGCTGCCAGCTAAAGGTAGGTACCAAAGTTAGGGGTTGGGTAGGGAAATGGTTGGAGTTAGTGAGATGCAGGGGAAAAATTGGTATTGACTCCAGATCATCACTAATGGGAGCATAGGGAGAGAACTTAATCTCCTCATTCTCTAGAACTGCCTGACTGTTGAGGAGGAGAAGAGAATGACACTCCAAGAGCCTACTGGCTTCTGAGAGATCTGAGGAGGAAACAGGTCTTTGTTTCATAGTCTTTGCTGCCTCAGGTAGGTGGGTGGTTCTTTGTGCAACTCCAGTGCCTGCCTCCTGATCAGAGCTCTGGGTGACAGTGAAACTGAGTAACAACTATGAAACTCTTCATTTGTGGTGGCTGCAAAACTTCTGGAGAAAGCGCGCGCGCACACACACGTTATCTTTCTACAGACTAAGAAAGTCAACACTGCATTGACTTAACCTAGTAATGGAACTGAATGTATCTTAAGCACAAAGGCTAGTGGCAATTTACTTTAAACAAAAGGTTAAATTTAACAAATTGTTTAGGCCCTCAAACTAGCAATGGCTTTCAGCTCAGCAATGATGAGTGAATTTTTCAAGCCATGTGCTAGACTCATATGCATTTCTTTCATTTGTTCTGTTAATAAGTCTGATATTCAGCCATCTCCAGGGAAAACATGAGCAGCAAGCTGCCTCCTAACACCTGAGAATCTCAGACTTATTTGAAGTGCATTTAGGGGAAAGGCAGGAACATTTGAACAAAAAGGGAAATAGCTAAGTCTACTAACTGTAAAGTTGTTGTTTTTTTTTTTTTTTTAAATATTGTCCTTGATTTCTATGGCCCTCATCAGCCTAGTATCTGAGTGCATCTCACAAATTTTACAATTATGGCGATGCACACATTTGTTTTTCCTTTCCAACAAGAAACAGCCTTAGGGATTTTGGATGGCTTTTTCTGATTCTATGAAAATAAGGTTTCTCTTGCAGGGGGAAAACTTGGGTGAAGAGATGGATGATGTTCCTGCTTTGAGGTTACTTTACTTCTGTAAGGAAGAGGCAGTTGGGTGTGTGGTTTTTTTTTTTTTTTTCTTTTGTGTTTTAAGCGCTGACATGGTACTTTCCAGCTGGACTTATTTTCTGTAGTTTCCACAAAAAATTTTGGTGTGAGAAGAATGAAACCTTCAGCATCTCCTTTTCACCTGACATTCTCCCTTCCCCCATCCCAATATCTATTTGTGGGGGTTTTTTTTAATATACTGATAAAATACCATGTTCTGCTTTGAAAAATTGTAGGAAAAACTTATCTGTTCCCACCATGTCAACAGGCAAGACACTGAAAAGGCTATCTCTAGCTTTTCAAATGACCATCACAGTGGTGGGAAAAGCTGGGGGGAAATTTTCAGTTGAAAAATGCAGATTGGGGTTTACCAAAATATTTTGCAAATATGTATTGAATGTGTGGAAGTGTCAGTCAGAAAAAAATCAGTGTTTCAAGAGTTTCAAAACAAAACATCTTGATTTTTTTTTTTTCTATTCAAATTAATTTTTTCCAAACAAAAACAGTGGCAGGCTTTTGCGGTCATTTTAGCTGAAAGTATTTTAATAAACTGATTTTCTAAGCTCTGTCTCAATCACAGATGAGTATTTCCACTGACCCTAATGTTTCAGAGATAACAGAAATGCCTACTGACCAATGTGAATTATAAGGGCAAGTATAAAAGACCTCTTGGCTTTTCCCTCTCATATCACTGAACTTCTTTCCAAAGAGAGTGATTTCACATATAAATACTTTTTTCACTGTGTTATACTTGGAGAATTTGTATAAAGAATTGAGGGAATGTCAATATGTTGCTTTTTACATTTTTGGTGATTGTCTAATATTGTTTTAATATACAGGTTGTGCAGTATGCATTTGTTAATTATGAACTACTCACCACTTTGGGGATTGTATGTTAGTGTGGTGGTTCACTATAGTTCATAGTCCAGTATTGAGGAGTTAAAATAGGTGGGAGAGATGCTTGTAGTAGTTTGGAAACACTTTTGAGGAAAAAATGAACTATTTTTCTAATCTCAATCTCTGTGTTATTCTATGGCATAGTTTTGCATCAGATTTGAGAAACCAATACATACTCTGACGGTGTGTTTTAAAGAGTATGGAAGTTGACCATTCTGGTTCTCTTTACTGAAAGCATTATGCAAATATATAAAACTGACTTTAATGAGAGGAGAAGTTTGAACTACGAAGAATAACTTGTAAACAGTGTACATGATATTTACCAGAGTGGTGTAAATCCTAGGCAGTTACCTCACCTTATTTATGAGGAAACTAAAAAATGAAAAGGAATTTGAGATTCTGTAGGGAATAAAAGATGCTTTTTTTTTTTTTTTTTTTATACCCCATTATTTCCTGGAGAGGGAGCTCACAGAAAGTCAGCATTTTTAAGCAGTTGCCACTGTTTTATACAACGCCAACAAGCATTTGGGGGAGACTTTTTTTTTTTTTAAAGTCACCAAAGGGCAATTAGTTGCCCAACTCCCTGACATTCAGTGGGAATTGGACGTTTATCACCCTCTTTATTATTTTGAAAATCTCCCCTTTCAGGCACTTTATTACGGTGGTGTATCCTAATTCTGTTTACTTTAGAGGATAGGATTTTATTATTTAAACTAAGATTTCCCTTCTGCAAGTGTGGTTAAGGAAGGCTTTAAACAACTAAAATTGATGTGAAAATAACATGGTTCACCATTGTGAATCTTAACTTCTAAATACCTTTAAATTGGATAGATGGCCCGGGAACAGCACATAACACCTATATATTCAGTTTAGTTCAGTGAATAAATTTGGAAATGAAATATGAGTCAATGGAAACATGAGCAAGTCACACCAATGGTCATACACTTAGGCTGGGGTTGTGAGGTAGGAGAAAGGTCACTAAAGCAATTGCCTTGCACATAAATCCATGCACAAGTAGCATAGATTTGTGCATTACACACAGCTACTTCTGGTTTTTCAGTTTGGAGGTGATGGAAGAAAAATGTAAGAAGACCTATGTTCAGTTGAAGTCTTTTCAGTGACTTCCTTGTCGTTTTCTGTGCAATGAATTTCTAATGTATTTGATGTTTATTTTGATATTGTGCTCTTAAAAATGTAATTCTGTGTTTTTATTATATGGGGTGAGACTTTTCCTTTTAAGGAACTGTAGCTGTAACTATTATTATTCATGGTCATAAGCAGTCAGTTACTTCAGTTCAATGCATTTCTTTTTATTATGCACTTTACACTCCTTTGGAATGGATGAGCTTGTCACCTCAGCCCTTGATGATAGTCTGCTTCATAGAAACATTCCACAAAATGTTTCTGTTTGACTCCTACAGTTGAAAGATTGAGCTGGCAAGAAGGTTGAACTAAGCTTTACCTTTATTAAGGCTGCCTGTTTTAAGGTTTGAGTCAATTATTCTGCCATTGTAATGAAGCATGTTTTGCATTTGTCTGCTCTATTTTTGGTATTTTGTTAAATAAACATCCCAAGTTTTTGTGCAAACATCGTTCTTTGTAAATTTAAAGACTGTCTCCAAGGGTGGTTAGTCAGGAAAAAAAAATAGTCATATCAGGTTGCCCTGATTTAGCCTTAATACTTTTCAATAACTTTAGAGAAGACTGAATTGCTACTGGAAAGGACTGTACTATATACTATTTCTGTATTAATATTTATTATTAAACTTAACATTCTTATGGCTCTCCTTTCTTCAGAGGCTTATACGTCATCTGGGTATATTGGAAATAG